AGGTCATGTATCTGAAATGGTTAAGGAATGACACATGGTTCCTACAGCTGTTAATTCCCCCATCTTATCCTAAATAGAGTGAGTGTTGGGACATGTACAGAAGAACACAAGTCATTAGGTTGATGACTCACTCTCTGTGGACGGTGGTGAAGCTTTTGTTTTGACATGTTAGGACAAAGGCGTGTAAAAGTGAAATTCAGATTCATTTCATTCCATTGTTGGAGAATGGATAGATACAAGATTTGAATCAGAAAGAGAAAAGAAAACAAGTGGGTGTGATTATTTGATGGACCGACGCATGAACAGTGCAGCATTATTTATTATCATCAGTTATTTGCTTTCCGACATTGCAAAAATCAAAATAAAGTAATGGTTGTGATTCGTGCGATTGATGACGCATATAGAGGATGTTCAGGACATTTTTTTTTTAAATGAACGATAAAAGAAAAAAAATTAAGTTAGATAAAATAAAATAAAATAAAAATAGTAATCAATAAAATAAAATTATTTTTTATTAATAATTTTTTTATATTAATATATATTATATAAATGTGATTAAGAACGAAAGAGTCCCAATATTAATATCCACGACTTCTAGTTGAATATATAACCATTATAAATATTTTTTTAATAAATATTAAAATATAATCAATACCTATTTTTCTTAAAAAAAATTATACAAAAATACAAATTATCAAAAACCGTCTTTGTGTAATGATGTTTTATTATAATTATTTTGTGTCTTATTTTCATCGCATTACAAAATAAATTAAAAAATAAGATGAAAAAACTACATAAAAAATGTTTTATATAAAAAAAAAATTAAAAGTTTTATATGACTCAGAATATTTGTTTCTTATGTCTAGTTTGCCTTTCAATATATAATATCATTAAGTAATGTCTCAAGAAATGCTCCAACCCTAATTTTTGTGGTCAAGACTTATCTTCATCTTTATCCAACTTGTTTTTATTTAGTTAATCACTTGTATCAGCATGTGTTAATTGTGTCTCATTTTAATTTGTTTATTTGTTTTGGTTTAATGGGTTTAATAAATTTTCGAGATATTATCATATTATGGTTACTTATCCTTTGGGTTTGGGTTACAGAGATGCACTTCAAGTCCATTAACAATTTGTTTCAAAAATTTATATATTAAAAATATTATATTCACTTATTAATGAAGTTATTAGAAAACTAATTAAATTTATCATTTGAAAAAAATTAAATATGTTTTTAATATTTTAAAATAATTTAATTTTTTTATTTCACTAATTACTTTCAAATTATTTTGTTAAACTTTATATTATGTGAATTATTGGGCTGTCTAATTATATATTTCTCTAAAATATGGTTTGTATTAGAGTAAATATTATATTTATACAATAAATTAATTATACTTTAAAAATATATATATATTTTTTGGTCATTCAATAATTTTTTAAATTAATATCAATATAATATAATTAAAAAATATATCATGCATCACACGGTCAACCCGGTTAAATAAACCAACCAAATTAGGGTTAAATAAATATGAAGAACGCATAAATATTTTATGTCTTCAGCCAACCTTACAACTTCACTTCCATTAAATTTAAATTAGTTTGTGAACATAAATAATAACTCAAATTGAATTTCATAATTTAAACAATTAAACATTTTTTCTTATAATTAGCAAATAATTCCTATATACTGTTTAATTTGCAAACAGACTTATGTAATTTTTATTTTAAATCAAAATAAAAAAATATTTAAAATAAACCTTGACTTTTGTTTTAAAGGAAACGCAAATAAATTAAAATATATTATTTTTATATGATGAATGTATATAGTGAATCTGTATAATTTATTTATTAAAATTTGATATTACAATAGTTTAAATCTACGATGATAACAATTAACATAATTTATATAATAATTTTTTTAAAGTTTAGTTAAGAGTTTTTATATTTAGTTTGTTGCCTAAAAATATATATTATAAATATAAATATGATAATTTTAAAAATTAAATTTAAATTTCACTCAAATATTGAATTTTAAATATTAAATTATAGATAATATTTTTTTTCAATCCAAAACAATCAAATATTAAAAAAATTATTATAATTATACATAAATATGTTTGTTTAAAATTTCAATGATTTCTTTACATTCAAAACAATAAACTTTTTGAAGGTTATGAAGTCAAAACAATAAATTATTTAACGGTTATAAAGTCAAAACAGTCAATTATTAAAAGGTCATACATGTAAAACAATCAATTAAAATAATAACTTATGAAATTATAAAAAAGTAAATAAAATTATTTATTTTTATTTATAATGTATGTATATTGTGAGTTAATATAATTAATTACTAAAACTTATATTTATTATAAGTTAAAATTACTATTGATGATAATAATGGTAGTTTTCATAATTATTGTATAGTTTGTTAATAATTTTATAATGTAGAGAGTGATATTAACTATAATAACATATTCTTTTACATTCAAACCATTGAATTATCATAAAACACGTGTTATAATTAAATATGATTAATTAAAAAATGATTTTCAATTAAATTTAAATTTTAGGTAATAATAATTACGATGATTATGATTTTATTTTATACCCAAAACAATAATTTATAATATATAATATGGTCATTTTAATTTCGCTTCAATTTTTGTTTCATTCAAATTAAAACAATCAAATTTTAAATGCTGAAACTATAAATTGGGTGAATTTAAATTGTATTAATATTTAAAATATCTTTTTAGTTTTACAATTATTATTTTTATCATTTTTTAAATTTTCCTTTTAATTTTAAATTTTATTATTTAAATCAAATTATTTGTTTCAATGGCAGTAAAAAGTTATGTATTTTAGAAAAACATAACTATTTCTTCTTTTATTGTGTAACAAAATAGACATATACATAATGAGATATTTGAGCCCTAAACCACATAGTCAAAAGACTTAATGCACTAACACTTGTACCAATATCTTAATTTAATATACTAATAAAATATTAATTTATTTAATTTAAAAAAATATTTAATATTTTGAAAAATAATATTAAATGTACCCTTAATATAATATATGTATATTATATTTTATTTATCATATACTTACTAATATACTAATTGTAATTATACACTATACCAACTTTTTTTAACCAACTCGTAATAAAAAGGAACTAGTTTTAAACGTAAAACTTTTAAGAGTATAAATTATTTTCCCAATGATTCTACGAGAAGAAAAAACATATTTAGTTGGAGTGAAAAAGGATTACAATTTCAAAACATTTTTTCATATAAATTAGATAATGATTTTAATAAATATAATATGGCTTAAAAAATTTAATACTCAATAAGAGATATAACAATAACAATTTTTTCTTATAACTATGCCTAAGATATATAATATTATAGTAATATTACTTAATATAAAGGTATATGATAAAAACATTTTAACCATTGATTTATTATTATTATATGCATTAGTAATTACATTTTATTATTTTAATAAATACAGTAACTGTTACCCTTGAAAAATATGGTAGATGTGTTCAAATAGTTGAAAATTTTGAATTAGATGGTGTTGTTTTAGCAGTTGAAGGGATAAGGCGTTTCTTTAAGCAGTTCAAAGGATAAAACATATTAATGATATGGATATAAATATTAATCTCGTTGCTTGATTGTAGTATGCTTTCTCACCTGCAAACATTTTCCAAAGGAACATTCACACATGTAAACATGACTGTTAATAAATTACCCTTAATCAATTAAATTCGTAGATTGTCTGAATTTAACTTTCGACTTTGGTTGTTAATGGAACAACTTTTGTTTTCAATTTTAGTCCAATAATAAATAGTAAAATGATAGTAATACTATTAATTATAGAATATTTTATTTTAATCAATTTTTTAACTTAAAATTAGTTTATTATTAATTATTTTGCCTTATTCTCACTACAATAGAGGTATTTAAAATCCAGAACCATGTTTCTTACATTTGATTAACTTTAAAAGGTTATCATCGTATTCATTACAAGAACAAAAGGTTAAAATAATAGTTTTGTGGTGGTACAGTTCCAAAAACAGGTACAAATCTAATAGCAAACAAAATGCAGTTTACAGTAATTTAATCGAATTCTATTTATGTTAAAGAGCAAGTTTTGTACCTCTATAAAAGATGAGTTTTGAAGACACATTATTCGTTTAAAAACTATTAAAGGCAGAGGTGCAAACATAAATTTGATGCAGATAGTGTTGGATACATAAATTGAAATAAAAGACTACCATGCATGCATAGAGTAAAGCAAAAACATTAAAAAAGAAGTCGTGAATAACAACGATTGAATACGACAGTTGTACCAAAAAACAAATGAATGCGACAATAAATCGATGCAACCATTTCAAGAAAGCTGAGCAGAGTACAAACTCTGGAATGTGAAGATGATGTAAATTTGGTATAGTACGAATAGAACAGACAAGTACTTGGCATGATAAGAATATTGATAGGCACCAAAATGATAATATCTGAGCCCAAACAAATTCTATACCACTTTGAAAGAACGAAAGAAACAACATCAAATCAAAATATAAAGTCGCATCAAATGAAAGCTACAATTTGAATTGCATTGCACTTTGACGAATTTTTTCATGACCCTCTACAATAAAATGTGGACCTATATTCCCTAAGACTTGTGTTTCAAGTAAACCCTTGAAGTCAAAACCAAATTTTTTTAAGAAAAAAAATAATGTGCCATAGCTATATATCATCACTGTGGACAGACATACGAAGATGCGGCTCAAAATCGGAAGCATGTGATTTAGTAATCAACTTCTAAGCTTGTCCAAAAATTTCCCACTTCCATCCTCCAGCACCAAACCAATATTTAAGCTCCAAAGTTCTACTCCTCAAAACCAATTTACCTTCAAAACAAGGAGAGAAAGATGGCAGTAAAGAAGCACAAATTTGTCAAAAATTACATCCTCAGCAAACATCCACCAGCTATTTTCCCTTTTTATGTGGCTTTTTGGGGGTTAATAAGATGGAGCCGCGCGAACTCTGCATCTGATGTCCAGAATTCTGTATCTGATGTCCAAAAACATTCCTCAGTGGACCAGCTTCATCGTCGTTGTCATCACTGTCAATGTTATCGGGAGTATGCCTGTTTTGGTATCCTCTGCGCCGCAAAATAAAGACATTGAAGTAGTAGCTAACTAAATCTGCTCTGCTTTTATCAGGAAAAGCCCTAAAGATATAGTCCCAGACATACGTCTCAGGTGATGGAGGGTTTGATCGTACCACATCCTCAAATTTTTTCTCGTCTTCTTTCGTCCACATTAGCCTAACATCTTCACCTACCTTATCAAAATTCCAGTCATAAAATGCTGTACCCAATTCCAGCTGAACTTTAGCCCTTTTCTCAGAAATGTGAAATCTTACACACTCAACAGAACCTTGTTCTGAGCAGCCGCATGAATCTTGTCTCCCCTTTCCTATGGGGTCCCTTTCAATAAGTCTGGTATTTACTGTGGCCCGTGGCCATATTCGAGTCCCTAACCACTTAGAATCACTTTCAGAAGTCATGCCAGTCCATTCTCGTATTTCAGCTTGATGATTTGGCCCTAAAGGGATGCGTACTGTGCCACATCTGTCAAGACCTGAATTTGCATCTGGGGAATCTTGCGACCGTTTCTCAGATTGATCTTCAGTATGAGGACTTGATGCCCTGTTCTCAGTTCCTACAGATGAATCAGAAGAGCTTCGCACAGTAGATTTGCCGAACAAAAGCTTCTTGTCACATTTCAACCTATCTCTGAGATTGTAGTTTGTCCCAACTTGATCTTCATACAAGCAAGGGTGCATCTTCTGATTCTACAAAATGACATTAGGCTTCAGTTTTAATTTTATATCAAAAGAATGTTTGAAATTTGTTTACTCCAATATATAAAATGGCAGCATTAGGAAAAAAATTCAAGACATCTACAGAACCAGCTAATAAAAAGAAAAAGGCATTTATTACCCAAAAAACATCAACCAAAATTTGTCTATAAATGGTAATTATATACTTGACGCTTACTAGACAAACTAAGGAAATGAGCTCTGCTTTATAGTTTAATGCTTAATAAGCAATTTGTGGCATACCCTTCCAAAATAGGCGCAAAAATACACCAGTTACCCATGCCTAAGTGAGCAAAGTAGCCCCCAAAAACTTTATTAATTAATCCACAAACACATTTAGTTTCAAGATTAATAGTATACAAAAATATAAAGTTTTTCTTCCTTGCCTATTGAGCTCTGTTTTCATCAATATTTTAGAGGAAAGAGCATTCAATGTCAATAGATTCGCATTCCATGCAAAAAATGAAAAAATAAAAATAAAAAATTCAGAGAATTTAAAATATAGAAGATGTAAGGACAGAATTTAAGCACCATAATTTTCGTAAATTAAACTGGTAAAGTTGACTCAAACATTGAAGAGTTTAGGTAATAGAAAACTATTAAAAAAATCTATTACTGACATCAACAATGATACAGCAAAATAGAATTCACAAAAAAATGAATAAAACTATATATAAATTAATTAAAAAAAGAGCTATTAAAGTGAACATTTTAAAAAGGAGTTTATTCTTCAAATCATTGCAGTCACGATAAAACATTGTCATTCAGGGGTCAATGGGGAGGAAAGCTACATTTGATTTCAAACTTGTTGCCTCCTGACTTGAGAGTTTATGTAAGTTTATATGAACTTGTCAAGTTTACCCAAAAAAAATTGATAGTAACTTGACTCATTTTGTCTATCTAGAATTGTAAAATCTTAAGAGAAAGTTAACTTAAAGAGATTGAAATCCACGGATGCATACAGTAGCTAACAGCAAAATAAACTGTATATTTTCAGCACAAAACAATGTCATGCGTCCAACATAATAGTTCATACTTCATCAGTGATCTGCATGGCAACCAAAATATATTTCCCTAGGCAAAACAGTTTTTTTTTTTTCAGGAATGAAGCAGCAGAAGCTGCCATTAAAAGTAAGTATCAAAAGTACAGAAGTTCAAAGTAACGGGTGCACACAAAGATCATACACATTCATGAACATATACACTTGAGGAAAGGAAAAACCACAGGTGGTTTATTCGTGCACAAATAAGTTTCACAGCACAAAAAAATGTAATAAGATAAACAGAATGGAAAATATGTTCAATCATATAAAAACATCTATCCGACTTGCTCATTTTCAGTTTATTAATGTTTAAGCGTGTTATAGCAACAATTTCATTTACGACAGCAATTTAAGTTAACTTTATAAATTCAAATTACCTGCCAATTGCGTTGTTCATTGTTTGGCTCAGAACCTCTTCTGTAAAACGCAGCCTCCCGAAACAACAGCATCTGCTTCCACACCACCTGATTACTATAAGACTTCCACTTTGACTTTTCAGGCATTGAACCTATTTCCGGATCACTAGGATTCTTTGCAACACCTATAACCCAGTTCAGCATATTCATTGAAGACTCTCGCGTCCTCTTACGACTAGGACTATCACTATCACCACTAGATGAATCCAACACAGACCCCTCCCTCTTCCTCTTGCGGCCAGAACTATCACCATCACTATTACCACCAGATGGATCCAACACCAAGTCCTTATTATCATTGCCGTCACACTTCTTCCCTCCGCTTACCAATCCAGCCCCACTGTTGTTAGCCCCATCGGATCCATCCACCGCCTGCTCTTGAGACACTTTCCCTCCATCAAACCCTTTCACCCCTTCCATTGCATCATTTCCCTCACCCAACATTCCAAGAACCGCCCCATTCATGTCATGGACCGGCGTCTCGGAATCAGAAGATTCTCTATGTTCACCTCCTTCATCACCATTACCTTTCACCCCATTAGCACCACACAACTCCCTCCCATCCAGGTTGTCATCATCTTCATCAAGTCCACCCTCGACATCCCCTCCAACCACAACCCTGCCATCCGCACAACCTGACAACAACCCTTTCACCTCAGCCTGCAACTCCATCAACCGCCTCCCAAACTTATCCCGATTATCCACCACACCACACTCAGGAGACACTTTACTCTCAGCAACTTTCTTCATCCATGAATCTAAAGCACTCAAGTACCTACTGTAAACCAACTCAACAGAGGACCCAACACTCACACCCATCCCAGACTCCTCCCCAACCGAATCCCACAACTTCCCATTGCAAACGGCATCGTATCCACCCTTCCCTCTCACCACCAAAAACAACCTATACAAATCCACATCCCGCCCATCAGCCAGCATTGGAGGAAACGGAAAAACACAACTAAACCCACAGATCTCAGTAGAGAACTCAGCAAACAACTTCTCCAAACGACAAAGTAATCGTCGTTCGAGCCTCCAACAATGCCGCCACTATCTTCTTTGCGAACACCGCCGTCGAACAGAGACCGCCCTGCCATGAACATCAAACTCAAACCCTAGAAACACATAATCAAACTCCGAAACACCCATTTTTTAAAAAATTTAAAAAACAGGTACTTTTTTTCTAGATTTTTTTTTTTTCGATTCAAGGGTTGTGAAATTGGCACCGATTGAGTATCCGGGTCAGAGTTAAAAGTAGATTTTGGCGGGAAAATGGAAAAGGGTGAGGATCTGGTACTATCTAGGGCTTGTTTGCTCTACCACCTTTGAGTGGCAAGAAGAAATATTTCATATCCCGCGCTCTTTCTCTCTCTACACTGATGTTAATAGCAGAGAGAGAAAGTGAGTGAGTATGTGAGAGAGGGTGTGTGTAAGGGAGAAAAAAATGGGTTAGGGGCTAAAATTCAAGTTTTCAACAGAGGCAGACCCTCTTCTTCAATATCTCTATTTTCATTGGAAGTAAATAAGAAAAGAGAGGGAGAGACGTACCAGTTTTTAGAGAAAGGGTTTCAATGGACCCCTATGGTGAGTCCTTGTGTTGTGACTTCCTTGACCTTTGCCTAAACTATGTGCCTATTATTTATTTTTTTTCCCCCTTTTCTATTTTTCTTCCCTCAATTTGTTTTGAGAGCATTTACAAGTTCCATTTTCATAAATCTGAAAAAATGGGGATTTAATAGGGTTTTCTGATGAAAGGAAGTTGCTTGAATCCACAGCATCATCCTCTTGCTATATAGGTGCCTTTGAGGAACCACTAACCTTGGTTACTATTTAACTTCATCATGGTTGGGTTTGGATTATTATTATTATTATTATTAATATTATTATTATTGGTGGGTTTGAAAATATTTCTTTAACAAGGTGAGGAAAACTATTTAATTAAAAAAAGGGGTTTTTGTGGAAGGGGTTTATGAAGAGGCATGAGATAGGTTGTTGTCATCAACACATGGGTGCCCTTGTGGATGGTTCCATAAAATTTCACCATTTATCATCTTGCCCCTTTCTCACCAACAACGTACCAAATTCATTTCAGACATTCAATGTAATCTAACTTTTTTATATTTCATATTACTGTACTAAATGTTGGGATTTTATTTCCTATCCTTCTTTTTAATATTAAAATCTATCTATTTTTATAACTATATATATTCAATTTTAGTACTATGTTCATCAATTTAATCCTATGCTTTCTTTTTCAGGTTTATTGGATTTTAAAATAACACAATGTATATATTATTATATGTTTCAAGCTTTATTTCTTATAAAAATTTATTTATATAATTATATATATATATATATATATTTAATTTAATTTATTATATAAATTATTATTTATCTTGGTTACTTGTCAGAGTATTAATTTAATATTCAATGGTGTTGTTATAATATTTATATATTATTAAAAAATTAGTTTTAAAACAAAAAATAATAAATATCAATTATGTTTTTGTTTGAAAACTACTTATTTATAAAAAAACTAATAATACATTTATTACTATCATTATTATTATTTAAGATTTGAATCAAAATAATTTAAAGATAAATTATATTTATATCTATACTAATAAGTTTTTATTTATTAATAATTCAATGTAAAACTTAAATATCAAAGAATAAAATATTACTTTATAACATAAGATTATAAATATTAATCTTAATCATCAAAAATATAATTTTTTATTAAATACAATCAAAATAATTAAATTAATTACATTTAATAATTTTTTTGCCAACAAAGAAAGTTCTTCAATGTTTTTTTACATCTTCTAGAGCTCAATAATTTTGGTCCATCCTCTGTGGGGTTCATCGAGAAGGGTAAGTTAGCGGTTAAAATTGTAATTTTGTTAATTGGTTGACGAGGTGGCACACCACCATTGTCATTGCTGGTGCATAGGATACCTTTAGTAAGAGACAAAGTGATTTTTAATTTTGTTATGTAACAATGTATAAAATATTTTATTTAGTCAATTTAAAATATTTATTAGATGAATCGTGTTTAAAAAATGTTTATTGATACTTAGTATTTGCAAAATAAATTACAATAACTATTCTCAGATTAAATATATATTATAAAAGTTTAATATTTCATGAATTTATTATAATTATTAAAAAAATAATAAATAGCACATATAAAATTAAGTATATACTATTAAATAAATTAACATAACAAACTTATAATTATTTTTCAATGCTTACATTTTAATATCATTTAATAATATTTTTAAATCATTAAAATTAAAAAAAATTGAGTTTAATTGTTTAATGAAAACTATTCATTGTTTTAATGAAGTATAAGTACAAATTTCTTAAACCTTAACAATAACTTTCAATTAATAAATAAAAAAAAACTATAATTTGTAGTGTAGTTATAATAAGTTATATGAACTAATCTGAATGAGCTGAATTGATGATTGAATCTAATTTATATTTAATTTTTTTATTAGTTTGTTTCAGGTTAAGAAACAATTTTAACTTGATTAAAAAATAATATTACAACATGTTTATATTAAAAATTTAATAAAAAAACATTTAAAAAATTTAACTTATATTAATAAATTATTTTATATTTTTATATAATAATTTAATATATAAATTATAAGATAATTAATTTATTCATTAAAAATCAGAGTTAAATATTTATATTTTATTTTATAATTATTTTTTTAATAATTGAATGATTTAAATATATAATTCATCTTAATTAATTAAAAATAATAAATGATACAAATAAAAATAAACTATTTTTAATTTTTACTTTACTGAGTAAAACTATTCTTAAATTATTTTATAATACATATATATATTTAAATAAAGTAACTTTACTTTTATTTTATTTTTTAAATAATAATTATTTTATAAAAATAGATAAATAAGTTTATGGATTAACATCATCAAATCGATTAGGACAACTGATTTATCCATAAATATATTTACTCTAAAATTTTTAATATAATAATATTAATTAAACAAGTTAACCAAATAGACGTTTCAATAAATGTATTTATCAACTTTATTTATTTATTTATTTATTATTTATACAAATAATTCAACTAACTAAGAACACAAATTTCTTTACAAATCTTAAAACTGAATTTCAATAAGGTTTTGGAATTTATGTTTAAGTATTCTCACCTGCGCATAAAAACTATATTTTTTTGTGATGAATAATAATTAATTGGTGGAATGAGAATTACAATTACAACAAAAAATAATAAATATATATATATATATATATATATATATATATATATATATTAAAATTCAGTGTTGGTTTTTCTAATATCAGGTATAACAAATTATAAAGAATTTTTTTTCTGAAAAACAAAATTTAACCATGAAAATAAATAAGTCTAATTAAATAAATAGACTAATAAATATATATTTAGATAATGTTTGTCTAAAAAACATTAATTATATACAAAATTCAAATTTTAACCTAAATAATATTCGGATAAACCTTTTAATCCATTAATTTATTTATTTTTTATACTTATACTGTTTGTGCAAAGAATTTTATTATTCGAAATACAAAATTTTTTATGAATCTTTTTTATGATTTTTCAGATTGTGTGAGGGAGAACACAAATGAATTTCAACCTAGTTTTATAAGAATTTACATACATAAGCCCATAAAAATGTTAGTTAGTCTCATTTAATTTATTTGATTTATTCTATTAGTAGATTAATCTATCAATCTTATATATATAGAAATATATGTTAAAAAAACGTACACACAGTTAATTATATGAATATTTACTTATTAATTATAATTAATAATTTAAGTTAATTCATTAATATTTATAATTTTAAATTATAATATATATTTAAATGTTATAACAACAAAAATTATAATAAATTGTTTATTTTAATATATAAATATTATAAAAATATGAACTATCTTTAATTTTTTTAAGTTGACTAGAGGAGTCAGAATGGAATAATAAATTAAAAGGTCACAAACTTATCTGTTTTATTATTCTACATAGAACTGAACAAACTTTTGATACAAGAAAAAATAATAATAAAATAAGAAAAAAATATATAGAAAAAAATATATAGAAAAAAATATTCCCTTATAATAAAATGAATAATTAATTAGTATAATGATTCTTAAAAAAAAACATAAAAAAATCAGACTAAAATTGACTTCTATCTTATCTATGTTAATTGTAATAAATAAATGAAAATAATTCCAAAAAGAATTTTGATCATAAACAATAATTAATTTAGTGTTATGTAAATAATTTTTAAAAAATATATTTATTTATTGTGTAAGCATAAAAATCATTTAATCGAAACTAAAAATTCTTTATGATTTTGGATAGTTTGCACAGAAAAAACTGGAGTTTCAAATTCACATTGGTTTTTGAATTTTGTTTTACATCTTTTAAAAAATTTATCATAAACAGGAAAAATAGATAAAAAAACTCGGAAATAGTTAATTGATGAAATGAGATTTTAAAAAATATAAAATATAAATAGTTATACTTTTATTGATTTTGTTCAAGAATAAATTTTTAATCATAAACCATAAATAAATATAAGTAGGTAAATAAATTAATAAAATATATATTTAAAGAATAAAAAAAATCATTATTTTTATATAAAAATTCAACTTTTAACCTAAACAAGGTTTTTTAAAATAAAGTTACCCAAATACTTATTCAATTTATGCACACCATTCATCTATTGGGAAAAAAAGAATTATACTTTTGATAGCATAAATTTTAACAAATTTTAATTTATATTTTAAAGTTTCCGAAAGAAAATTTTCATCAATTATTTTTTATCATAAGAATTCATCAAATTTTATTTATTTTTTATTATAAAAAGTGGTTTTTTTTTTCTCTTGTTCATTCTATCTTATTCTTCTTTATCCTCTTTCTTAGTCTAACTCTTCTTTTATGAAAAATGCAAATTCTATGAGAATAAAATGAGTGAATAATTAATTAGGATAATGAAAATTAAATAAAAAGTAAAAAAAAATTATATTGAAATTCAAATTTACTTTCTTCTATGATAAATGTAGAGTCATATAAAAAAATGAAATTAAATAATAAACAAATTTAATTAAATAAATAAATAAACTAATAAGAGATATATTTAAATAATTTTTCCTAACAAATTATTATTTATGCAAAAAAATTAATTTTTAAATAAGCTAAATATGATAATCCATCTACCTAATTCACAAATCCTGCTTTTATTTTTTATAATATAATTATTTTGTATATATATAATTATTTTAAAAAATTCCAATCATATAACATTCAAAATATTATGATCTTTTTAACTTGTGTATTTTGTAACCTAAACTTCTATTTTAAGTTTTTTTTAAAATTCAAAGATAAACAATTTCAAAGTTTTTTTTGACAGAGATTTTTGTTTTCACATATTTTTTTTATCTTAAATTTATTTAAAAAAAAAAGTCATTCTATTTTCTAATATTTTTGAGACAACCCATTAACTTATTTGGTACTTATATTTCCAATAACTATAATTTAACATTACTAAAGTTTGATTATTGTAAAAAAAGAATCAATATAAAAATTATATTTAATTTACCACTATAATTTTTTTTGTCAATAATTAATCTTATTCTTATTCTTATTATTATCGATGCAAAATTTGGTAAATCATGTTAAAATTATTGATTTAGCATTTTTTTTTCAAATTAACAAATAAAGCGAACATAACAATCAAACAATTTTGAAGTAACATTTAAATATGTTTTATGAATTTGTATATATATATTTTATTTCATTCGCTCGTATATATGTATTTTTGTAGTCTTTTTTTTCTATAAATATTTTATCTTGAGTTTTTAATTTTGATAAATATATATATATTTTATTTTAGTTTATATAAATAAAATAATTTTTATTTTAGTCTCTATAATTATATTACTTTTGATTTTAATCTGTACTAGTAGATGTAGACAATAATTAATTAAATAGTAGAGTTTCTATATAGACTTGACCTACCTCAAAATAAAACAATTATTAAATTTATTTAACTAGTAAGTTTATAAAAAAGTTAATGGGCTTAGTTTTTTTTTTAAAGATCAAATCCCAACTCAACTTCATGCAAGAAAAAAAAATTGAACTGAGTCACGTTTAATGTTTATAGGACTCATTTTGGGTGTTTCTTATTGCACCCCATATTTTCTTCCTACACCCTATATTAATAATATTATCTCTAATATAAATAGGTTTGGAAAACTTATTTTGAAAAAATTTTGGTTTGACTTGTTTGAAAGCTTTCAGAAATATTTCCAAAAAAAAAATCTTTTTTTTTTAGAAATTTCAAAAAATTAATATTGGAATACTTTTGAAAAATTGATGGAAAGATCAATCCAGATTTTAAAATGAGTTTTATTAAAAAAAATTAATTGACTTTTTCGGAAATTTTTTGAAAGTGTTACCGAATCAATTTTTCAGAATATTTTGAAATGTTTTTGGAAAGTTTAATCCAAAATTTTTGTTAGATAACTCTTTCCTAAAAAGTTTTAGAATAGTGGATTTGGGATAATAATAATAATAATAATATACACAGCACCGATATAAATTCAATGCATTTCCCTTTTGTTTCACCACTTTCCTTATACATATTCCTCTTATCCTCTTCCAGAGTGTGTTCTACCATTTTCGTTTAAGCTTCCAAGAGCTACTTGCTCAATCACTTCTGTTAGGAACGGCATGGACAGTGAAGATGTTCCATATGGAGAAGAAAGAAGGTGACGAAAATTTAAAATATATAAGACATTTTTATTATTTAACATGATATGGAGGGATAAGAAGAATGTGTCCTCATTTTTGGGCACTATTTGTTATCTGTGTTTTCTATGGGTTCATGTGCAACATGTTATAGTTCAGTCAAAACTTCATTTTCCTCGCAATTACCCAATGATGACCCACAAAAACAATGTTTATAAAACATAAAAGCAAGTGATTCATCTACGTACGAAGACAATCAAAGACAAAGTTGGTGATATTCCATGCCTCAATAATATATTTTAAAATATTGCAGACTGCAGTATCAATCAACCAGTTATTAAACAACGAACTCCTCTCATCAATGGTTATTCAGAAAATGTGATAAAAAAACGAATTAACAAATTCATTGGCTGGTCAAATTATAGTCTGTAACATCACAGGAAAAAACAATTTTTTAGTTAAGTATCTGGTAAACAACTTTGGACAGATTTTATTTCATTGTCAGCTGTCACCAACTAGAAGTAGTATGTTTGATCAGTCATCTAAAAGCTTGAAACATACGTTGAATTTAAAGACACTACACCATGGATATATTCAGTCAGCAATAACGAGTATTCCACATTTAGCTGGAATTTCATTTACTTGTTTTTCTTTCTTTCATATTTATCAGGAAATGTGCTTGTTGTGACTTTGCTATAAAATGAAAAGGTGGCACTTCTCAGGTCAATTTTCTTGTTAACTATAAAAGGAAGCGTGGGAAAACAGATCCAATAAAAAATAGCTTAATATTGATCTTTCAGTCTAATTCTTCTAGAATGTCAAAATTTAATGCATTCAAAGCTACTAATAGCAAAAGCTATTCATTTACCAAAGGTGATAACCGAAGTTAATTTTAACTAACGAGCCACACCAATGACAACCAAAAAACACAAAAACAATTACCAAATGATGGATAATTATGGACATGGTTTAGAGACAGTTGAGTTTCTAATTATGAGAACATGTTCAGATAGCAACTGGGTTGCCACAAATTGACTACCGATTGATACTGATCAATCACAAAGGCAAGCATTTGATAATTCAGACATAATTCAAGGCGCTTTAAATGATACACAGGATACTTATAGCTGTTATTTGTATAGTTGATTCTGCGAAACTATAGTTACTATGATTCCAAGACCAAGTTGGTTGCAACAGGGTACGTTATACAACTTATTGCCCTGCTTGTAACAAGTCAGGCTTGTGTTTGATTTTGCAAATATCGTTGCTGTAGCACGCAACTTAGGCACGAAAGCAGCAAAAAAATTTGGATAGTTTTTTTGGGTTAGAACAAATTTACTAAGTAAAACGATCCTTGGTCAGAACGTCTTCAATTTTATGTTCAAAAATTTCATTCGACATTGTCATTTTACATTACATGTTAAACACACGTGTATAGAAGTTAGCATTTCATTCACTAGGAAGAGGAAAGCTTGAAATTAGAAGCTCGGTAAACCAATCTTTCCAAGTTCTGACATTCTAAAGGCAACTACTTTACATCCACTTCATCAAATGCTCCATTTTTTCCCCATGCTCTCCTTGGAGAGAAAAAAAAGGAGAGAAGGGGTATCAAGTTACAATTGTGTAATCTGGACAATGCCAGAACTTTGTTATCTAACACTGACATTAACATTCACATCCAATGGAGAAAAAACGTGCCCTGTATATGATTCAGAATCAGCAGTTGACACTTCCAAGTTGCCATCAGATAAGCTTCCACCGGTAGACACACCAGTGCCTGAATCAGCCTTGACCCCATGAAAGGAATCCCCTGTAACCAGCGCTTGAAGCAACTTGGGAGGTGGAGGAACACTCACCTCAACCCACCCCTCCAACATCTTCACCACCATACCCATTGTAGGTCTAATACCCTCATCATCTTGAATGCACCATACGGCCACCAAAGCAACCCTCCTAGCCTCCTCAATGTTATACACATTACCAAGCCTCTTATCAATCACTTCATCCACATTCCCTTCTATTATCCGCTGTGCTGCCCACGGTGGGAAGAACCACTTCCCTCCAGTCTCACCACCACTCTCTCCAACTCCACCGGCAGAAGGCGGTGCTTCCACATTCCTTCGACCGCCAATCAGCTCCAGCAATGTCATTCCATAGCTGTAAACATCTGCCTTGGTTGTAATTGCCACACCAGAAATCCACTCTGGCGCAACATACCCCCATGTCCCCCTCATAGTCGCCAACACCCTACTGAAGTCCCTTCCAATGAGCTTTGCTAACCCAAAATCAGAAACCTTGGCAGTGAAATCACCATCCAAAAGAATGTTCTCAGGCTTGATATCACAGTGTATGATGCAACACCTACACTCCTCATGTAAATAAGCAATCCCCTTAGCAGTGCCAACAGCCACCCTAAACCTAACATCCCAACTCAGACTAGGCCCTTCCTTCCTCAAATAAACACTAAGAGCACCATTCTGCATATACTCATAAACCAAAAGCCTGTGAGAATTCTCAGAGCAAAACCCTCTGAGCCTCACAAGATTCACATGCTGAATATTCCCAATAGTTGAGACCTCAGCCCTGAACTCCTTCTCCCCACCCCCCGGCCTCTCCAACCTCTTCACAGCCACAATTGAAGCATCACTCAACTCCCCCTGAAACACAGTCCCAAACCCTCCATGGCCAATCTTCTCCGAAAACCCACGAGTCGCCAACTGAAGCTGTTTGTAAGAAAACACCCGCAAATTCAACACAGGCACAAACCCATCCTCCTCCTCCAACCCCTTTCTCCCACCCCTCCTCTTCACCATCACCAACAACGTCACCACCACCAGTCCCAAAACCGCAACCGATCCAATAACAACCCCACTCAAAACCTTCCTATCAAACCCGTTCCCCTTAGATCCTCCTCTCGGAACCCTAACATACAAAACCCCACTCTCACCATCGCTGGTTAAATTCTGAAAATCCAAAAGCGACCCATAAAAATTCTTACACAACCCACTCTGCTTGTCGAAACTCAACCCAACGCACCCACAATCACCCAAACACTCGCGCTCGCAAAAGCTTCTAGATTTCCCTTTAACTAGACTCACATTCCCAAATCCAAAGCTCACAGCACCCAGATCTTCAAACTCATCATCCCCATCACACCCCGCATCCCCACGATGACAACCTCGAGAGTAATCACCAGAACCCCATCCATGACCATCCAAAGGCTCAAACCCACTAAGACACTCACACGATTTGGATATTTCCCCAGTGCAAACTCCAAACCTCCCGCAGAGTCCCCGAACCTGGCACACACTATCTGGCTTGAACCAAAAATTGTTCCACGACCCCGTCTGGCTGTTCCACGTGTACTGCCTGACCTGCCCGAAGGGCTCGACGCGAAACATCGTAGGCAGGTGGAGCCCGGTCTCGGAGGCGCGTTCGGAGAAGCCAAATGTCGCGTCGGGGGAGAACGGCGCGGCGAAGTGGAAAGCGTAGAGGTAGGGAACGGTCATCTCGGGGACATTGAGGAATATCCCGTTGGTCCAGTTCCCGGTGGACCAGTACGAAACAGTGTCGTTGAAGACGAGCTCGAACTCGCCGTAGAAGGGTGGCTTCAACCGCAGGGAGTAAGGCCCCGGGGAAGGGTCCGTCTCGGTGCGCCATGATGTGAGGGAGTTGAACCGCGTGAGGTTCATGCCGGGGAGCCACGTGTCGGAGGGGGAATCGAAGCTCTGCCATGAAACGACGCCGTTGGGAGTGAGGAGAACGAGGTTCCCGGATTCGAGAAGCTTGAGGGAGAGGTTTGTGGTGGTGCTGTTGGTGGTGGCGGTCCAGATAGTGGTGTTGAAATGGGTTAAGAGTAATTGACCGGTTCGGGTTAGTTGGAGTGATGAACCAGTTTGGGAAGGTGAGGGCTTGAGGCGGTTGGCGACCCAGATGGTGTTGGGGTTGGGGAGGGAAGTGCGGCGGATGGCGAGGTAGAATTTGGGTGGGCCCGGGCCTGGGAAGAAATTGAAGAAGCCAAGTTGGAAAGTGTTGTTGGGGCTTTGGAGAGTGTTGTTACCTTGGAGAATGATGGTGGAGCTGGTAGTGGAGGATGTGTGAAGAATGAGAATGAAGAGAAGAAAAAATAGGAACATTGTGTTTGATTTGTTCTGCTAAGGAAGTGCAATTGCATGGACATGAAAACAAGAAAAATTGTCTTCTCCCATGCCACTCACTGTGGGTTGGGTTCTTCTTTTTTCTTCTGCTTCTCCTTCTTCAGTTTCTCAACTCTTGAGCTTTGGTTTGGTGCGTTGTCTTTTTATATGTCCAAATTACCCTTTACCCTTTTTCACTCTCTCCATGCTCTGTTGTCAATTATTTTGGGGATTTTATGCTTTGCTATGATGTCATCAACCCTAATTTTAAAAAATGGTTTTGATAAATTTAATGAAATGATAAGATCATAATTATATACCAGAGAAATTTAAACAAATTACAAATGCAAAATACATTATTATTATTATTATTAAATTTTTTTCTCTCCATATATTATTATCGTAACTTATTTAATTTGCATATACTCTACCATTCCTTGGATGTGTAACGTGGACTAATCTGTCCCCAAAAACAATATTTGGTCAAATAATATATATATATATATATAATTAAAATGAAGATTATTTGATTTAAAATCGAAACAAACATTTCCCATATTAAAGTGGAGAAGAATATTCAAATTCATCTTATATATTCAATGAATGAAAACAACAGGATTCCAAAAAAGAAACATAAATTTATTAGCTTGTGAAATTTTAAATTTGAAGTTTGTGTTAGAAAAGCACCGAGGCCCATAACGTCATGATTCATAGGAAGATTAAAAGTATTGTTTTTGGTCCGCACAACTAATAAATGTTTATTAACAAATTAACTATTTTTGATAACCAATACCTTTAGTAACACTTTAACTTATTAGGATTGTTTAGTAACAATTATTATGTTGATATGATATGATATCTCTTTTAGTTTAATATATATATATATATATATATATATATATATATATATATATATATATATATATATATATATATATATATATATTGATGCTTTAAACCCAAACCTTTAACTGATTGATGTAGAATAATTGAAATAATATAAACTGTTTATGGCATATATTTCTTAATAGGATAAAGTGTTAGAAAGAGAATATTACCTCTAAAAAAACAGTAGTTGGAGACACATAATTTAAGAGTTTCACTCATTGCTAACTTAGATACCAAACCATTTGTTGCTTCCTACATGTATGCTGAAAATGGTAGTTTTTTTTTTCATAAATAAAGATATTTCTATTAGTAGAAGGTTAAGGATATATTTTAATTTAAATAATTATATATTTTTATTTTAAGAAAAAAAATAAGAGAAAAAATATGAATTTTTTTTATATAAATTCAAATTAGTTTATGTATAATCTAAAACTTAATTAAGTCACGGAATGATTTCTGCGTAAATTAATTTTAATTTTTGAGAAAACTCATTTTATTTTGTCTCCAATAAATTTTTACTCTAGGGTTTATTCTAAGATACCTAATTTTCGTATGATATAAAATTATTAATGTAGTTTTTTTTTTAATTTTAATATTTTCATATTCACGATAAAATAGTTAAATCATCACCAGTAAATCTAAAGGATTGGAATAATTAACACTTGTCCCAAACAGTAAATTTAAATGATTAGAATTATTATTATTATTATTTTGAAATTTTATAATTTTGACATTTAATTGAAAAGAATAACGTCATTTTAACATATTTTATCTTTTTTATTTCATGACATATCATTATGTTTTTAGAAATTATTTTATCAATAAAATACATAAATATTGCAAATATAATAATAAAATATATGAAATAATTAAATGTACAAATTAGTCACTTTATTTATTGAGATGTTTGATTTCAGAATTAATCTTATAGGTGAAAATTTTAGGTGATTTATGTATATTCATATATTTAATCAACAACCATAAAAAATATAATAATAAATAATAATATTATATTAAAATATGTAAAGGGTAAATATTTTTTAAAATTGGTTGTAAAAAAAATATCTCTTTATTTAAATACCAATGTCTTGTCTCTATATAAATTATTTACTTACTGATTATTATATTTAATAAAATTTCAATAGTATACATATATAATCTTGTCCTAAAATTAATCTAAAACATCTTTTTTTTTCATTATTTATTTTCTTATAATTTAATATTTAAAATTATAAAATATAAAAATTATTATAAAAATAACAAATTTTTCTTAAAATAAATGAAGTATATATATATATATATATTAAATAATATTTTTAAAATTATTTAAAATATATTTTTATTAATCTTTAAAGATTAATAAATAAACAAACAATCTTAAAATAACTTTCATTCTTTGTATTAATATTTTAACTAGAAATTCATAAGATATATTTTAGTCTTTATAAATATATAAAAAATATATTTTATAACAACATTAATATGTATTTTAATAATAATATATATAAATTATGTGAAATAAACAATATTTATGAGCTATTAAATTTATATTTCAAAAATTAAATTTTAATGTATTTAAGTTTTAGGATTAATACCACAAAAGTAATAATTATATATTTACTCTTCTGTTATTATAATTTTTTTATTTAATTAGAGATAAACTAGGTTATATTTAACCACACCATTAACAAATCCAATAAAAAATTATTGAGAGTCTTTATATTTTTTTAAGACATAATTTAACTTAATTCATTTTGATGAGTTGGGTTGATTGGATAATTTTTTTAATTTCAAATACTTTTTTAATATAATTTTTTGAAATAATTTTTTAAAATAATTATATTATTTAATGTTTAAACATTTAATATTAAAAAATTATTGAATTATTATGATAACTAAATAATAATTATATTACTACTATTTATTTAATAATTTTGATAAATGAGTTAGATTAGGTTTAACATTAAATACACAAATTCATTATCTGAGTCATAAAAATATTGATTTGGATATTGACTCTGCAAACCTAATCTAATTTATTTGAATGAGATTTAAAAATAATTATATCAGATTATATAAATCACTAAGCACCTTTATTTAGATTTAATGTTCATTATATAGAAAATAAGTGAATTATTTATATATAAATAAGAGTAAAAGAAAAAGGGTAATTTGGGAAGGAGACAAAAGTCGGGGAGAGTGAAAGGGTGGTGGCAGTGGCAGACAAATGCTCTGAACTCCACTCATCAAAGTATCCGTTTTCAACTTAGGAAATGAAAAAATAATTAAAAAAAAAACATTTTGAGGAAAAAAAATAATTTTCTTTCATGAATTGCATTTATTTATTTACAGATACATAGACATTTCTATTTGGAATTTAAAAAATGTTTTAGTAAATGAATATTATTTATTGCATTGAATCGCAAAGGTAATTAATTTGTGTGGTACAGTTGAAGCATGAATGAACCCCACAAAGTGGGTTCGTATAGATTGTAGCTTCTGGACTTTTTCAAATCTCAAATATTCTTCTACAAAAATATTCTGCAATTTTCCAATTTCTTAAAATGTTTTTAGTATTAATGAATTATACAAATTCTTAATATTTTTCTATTTACAAATTTCAGAAAGTATAAATTGTAGGGAGGAAAGTCTGGGTCTACCAACCAACCACTGAAGGAGGCCCATTCATAGATTGTAGATAATTTTGGTAAAGAGGTCAATCAATTCAGGTTTTGACTTATGACTATATATTTTGTCTTTGTCATCCCCTCTATCCACAAAGTCATTGAAAGTTGTTTTATGGCTTCTAATTAGGGACGCCAGATCCGGGTCAACGGACTGATAGTTTAGTTAGGGATGTCATTACGCTTCTAATCCATAAATTAATTTGGTTTACCACATGTTTCAATCATATTAGATTTTTTTTTACTAAAAATAAACTCCACTTCCAATTAGAGTAAGATATTTATTTTAAATTTTAAAAATAATTATAATAATTTAGTAATTATTATCTTATTTTTCTATCTCTACTTCACAATGTTGGTATAAATCAAATTTTCACTTAAATTTATTATCGCTCCACTTTGTTGACCATTACATCTAGATTACTTGTCACTCTTGTACCAAATCATCACATTTGTTGTGTTTATTTAATTAATATAAAATTATGTTTTAGTTGCATCATCGCATTTGCTGCACCACTACATACATTATGTACTACACCACCTTGTTTCAGTTGTACTATAAAATTCATCACGTTTCTTTTGTGTCACAACGTTTGTTGTACTACCGTGTTATTACATTTTAGTCTTACAATTTAATTATACTTATTAAAAAAACTAAAAAACAAAAAGATAAATACAGGTTAGTGAGCTAAGCAACCAAATCGTAATGGTTGAGTCGAATTATAAAAATTCTGATTTATTATAAAAAAAACTCACTTATTTTCCATTCTACCCGTAATAAACAAACTCATGTTTAGTAAGTCAACATATTTGATTATTTTTGTTTAATTTTTTAATCTAATAATCAATATTTAAAAAAAAATATATTAAAATAAAAAAATGAAAAGAATTATTTTTTTTATGTTATATTATTCAAATATATAAATATTTTAATACATAAGTATTTTTTTCAAGCTATTTAATAAAAATCTTAATTAATAAATAAAACTTTAAAAAATATTCATATAATACATATCTTTTAAAAATACATATAAAATAATTTTATATAATAAAAATATTGACCGATTAACTCTGTCCATATTTGAAAAAAAGATTATAATCTAAAATCTTTCTTGATTACATTTATAATTAACTAAAGACGGAACTAAACAGATTTACCGTTTTGTCGGCTTTACTTCTAATTTCTTCATCCCTAACACGTTTTCATTTGGCGAGGACTTTGAATTTTCCGTTTTTTTTTTCCAATGATTTGGCCCACATTATTATGAAAAAATGGTTTTAATGATAATCTGGTTATGAAAGAAGAAGGCCAAGAAGGAAAATTGCTGTTGTTCTGCATGCTTATCAATCGATTAAAATTCTATGATCAAAACATCATCATGAGGTTCATTTTTGACAAATCACTATTTTTTTTTTTTGTCTTTTCCTTCTTTCTTTTTTTCCTTCTTTACAATCAAAAGAAGTTATCATATATCCCCATGGTTGATTGATTCCTATTTTTCTAAAAGATCTTGTTTTTTCTAAACAAGAGTACCACTTTCTAGAAATAATATATTTTTCTATGATACTTTCAAGTAATAATCAGACTTTATGTATACATGACAGGATAATATTGTGTACTATAATTCCCCATACTTCAGCATAACTAAAAACTTATATTTTGGCTAAATTATCTTTTTTCTTCTTATTTATATTTTGATTAATTTAATTTGATTTGAGTTCTATATTAATAAAAAAAGTCCAATTAAGTCTCAATTTTTAAAATCAACAATGAAATATTTATAAGCTCCAATCAAATCTTCCAATTGGGGTTTAAAGGGAAAAGTTGCAGACTTTGATTTGATACAATGAATATCTGTGTTGGGAAAGTAGGGTAGTGATGCATTAATGGTGCCATTGACATGTTGAACAGATTATACTATTTGTTTAATTCACTCAATCACGTACAGTTTGAAGTTTAGACTATGCCAACTATCCACACACATGTGCACAGAAGACAACTGGAGCAAACCCAAAAACAACAAATTGAGATCACTATCAAAAAGAAAACTAGCAGAATCTACATTGGTTTACAATCACAGTTACCCCCTTTTTAGCCATCAAGCAGCAGAGATTTCAATTTAAAACAAAAGGGTTCAGTGTATACAACAAAAGATTGGATCCCCAACATTCACCACAATATATACATTGAAAATCTACTAAAATGTAAATAAGACTTGATTTACAAGGCTAGTGTGCATCTTCTACTCTCACTAAGAAAACAACATGGAAAAACAAATAAATATTGAGAAATTTGTACAAGAAAATGGAGAGAGTGGAACAAAGCAAACATGGGGGAGGGGGGAAATCCATTCTGTGAACTGGATTTCTTCATATTGAGAAAAGCCTTCATCTGTTCACTGATAAAAGGTAAATTCCAACATGATGAGGAATTGCACTTAGGTGTAACATTCTGTCAAAACCTTTTCATTCTTCTTGTCACAGACTGTACACCCAATGAATGAGTGCACTAAAACAACGACCTTATAAATGCTTTAGGAATTGGAAATGAATTTGTATTATCTTCTAACCAGTTTTCAAACAATGAGTTTTCATCTATCTTTCAGGCATTTATAGCAAGCTCTTTTTTTAAGCAACAGAACTAGTTCAGTGTCTGGTCAAATATCATCTCCTGTAACATAGGGAAAGTTATTTTACTTTAGCTTAACATAATAGATAAAAATGCTCAGAAAGAGGGTATTTTATTGGCAACAATAATCAGTAATAGACATTTGACAGGAACTGCTGGAGTCCATTTACCAAAAAAAAAAAATCCTCTTCTCATTAATAGTCAAGAAGGAATTAATGCAGAAAGCCAAACCTGATCACATATAGGACAGAAGTCACTTCTTTCCATCCACTCAAGAATGCAAGACAAGTGAAAGTGGTGTTCACATTTTGTCAGAGTTTTTGGATTCTCAACATTATATTCTGCATTGAAAATAAAAATAAATACATCAAACAATATTTTCCTGAGATAATCCGTACTTATTGGCCTAGATACCTCAACTGAAATATAGAAAATCTGACATTGAAGTTTAAAAAGATGATCTTACTGACCATCAAGACAAATTGGGCAGTCGTCCTCTTCTTCTGTCACTAATGCATGAAATTCTTTTGATTTTGACAGCTCTGCCTTGCTTGGAGATATAGGTGTTGAATTAGCTTTAACTTTACAGTCAGATTCTTCAAGATCTTCACATGTAATTAATGTTTCAAAGCTACTAGCACTAACTGTTTCTCTGCCTGATTCAGATTCTGTTGTTGCTGGACCTCCCAGGACCATATCATAAGGAGGAGGTGCAGGAGGAGGCTGGTATGTCTCAGGTGAGGAAGCTTCCAGGTTCAAGCCTACCAGCAATCCAGTAGTGAGTGAAGTAGTCGTACCATCATTTGATGTTACAGACTCACGTTCTTCTGAAGTTGGTGGGCACTGCAAGCAAGAGTATTTTAGTTATCATACCATATGTGCATGAAAAAATATGGCATCACCAAAAGCACTTAATTTTGAAGAGAACACTGAAAACATTCATGTTAAACTACAACTCAGCCACCACCTTCTCATCTGAACACAACACCAAAGAAATACTTCCAAATGCTTTGTTGCTTTGAGTAAACATCTATTTAGTCAAATTTAACTATTAATTTTAATTTCACAGTTCCATGAGAAAATTAAAAAAAGGAAATAAAAATAGAACTGGTACAAAGTCCATAGATTATCTGGAATTAACTTTGATGCATGCCTGCATTTAAAGAAGTCATAATCATAACCCTAACAAGATCCTTGATACAAGAGCGAAAAGTATGATTTCTATTGATAAAACAATGAAACTATTATTTATCATCGTTCTACCACGGTATTTACTGGACAATCTTTTGTTCAGGATTTGATAGCTAACTTGCATTTATATCATGTGCAAATCTTTTTATCTGCAGCAACTGCATTTAATAAACACTTCAAGAAATTCAAATTTTTAAGTTAGAACTAAAATGATGTTCAGTTTGAAATTGCATAGCCATTACAACAATAACACTAAAATATTACTGACAAAAACTAATACAAGCATAGATGAGTGAAGCTGTTTGGAATTAAAAACTAAAGATTGCAAGAGGATAGGAGGAGAAACAGAGTCACTTTGAACTTTGATTATTACAGTGACTTCGATTCCTACAAGGATAGGAGGAACAACAGTCGGAAGAGAACTAAAGAAAGAATACAATATATAGACGAGATGATGAGAAGTATCAGTTAGAATCAATACATACACTATTTTCCATCATTAATCTACTCTATTCAGCATGGTTGAGGGTTCACAGAATGAACTAATAGTGAGATTATCACATTTATGCTTATAAGCAACCACATATGCTACATAAGCCACAAATCAGGTAAGAAAGGTTAGAAGATTACTAACATAGTAATACACAGGTGTCCCATGCAGGTGAGGTTTCCTGGCAGAACAACAGCAACCTCCCATTTTTCAGCTGTCATTTTCTCTCAAACAATCAAACCTATCACTGACTGACACTCTCATTCTCTTCTGTTATTTTTCGGGATCGAAAAAGGATCAATGGCCACTAGACTTTATGCATCCATTCTGCAACCACAAGGAAAAAAAAAGTGTACAATACAAACTTATATCCCGTGAAATCAATGTCAACTTAACATTATGCAGAGATCACAAAGTGAAACAAACAATTACACAGCTGCAACAACCAAACCCCTCATTTTGAGCAATAAATAACATAATAACAAATTGCATGTAGTCTCACTACAGATTATATATTACAGTACTGTTGCAAAAGGTTACAAATGCCTCACCCTAATTCATGATCAGCACAATTACATATTCCTAAATAAGCACACAAACTTCAACAAAAGACAAACTTTCCATTCAAGAAACCAATCCACACAATCTACAAGAACATGGCAGAAACCAAACAACGAAGTCAGATGCAGCAGCAGCCACAACAACACAGAGAAAACACCCTGACCCAGAACAATACTACAAAAACCAACAAAAGGGTCGAACAGGAAGAACCATTTGAATCAAAATCCACGGCATAAACCCTAAAGTCTGTGATGCAAAAAGGAAACAGCTTTTTAGTTTATTTTTCGAGGGAATAAAAAGAAAGTACCCCAATTGGAAGGAGCGGTGGGAAATTGGTTGAACAACTAGGGACAGAGAGGGAGTTGTGAAATTGAGAAGTTGGATTATTGTTCTATGTGCATTCACAGATAGGCAAAACATTAGCATTAGCATAGGTTAGTTGTTGTACTAGTTTTGATTTGATGCGACTGCGTTGTGTTGGTGGGGTTGTATGTCACCAGAGTACGCGCTCCACTCATTTTTGTGCCATAAGGAGCTTTGTCGTTTGTTGGCCTTGGATTTGCAAATGTACAACTGCATCCCTAAAGTCAACTCCATCATTTCATCAATAAGTTTATTGCATATATAATCTATAACTTCAAAATAATTTTTTTTTTTCATTTATTATCAAGTTGGATCAAATTTCATGTATTTCTCTTCAAGTGTCAATTTTTCTGGAAAAAATTATTTCTGTTAATTTTTCATTTGTAAGTTAAAAACCACATTCAATTTATTTTATGTATATTTTAAGTGTTCTCACTAATATTAAGCAAAATAAGAAATAAGTTAATGAATATTTTTTTTACTAAAATATCTTTATATTCTTCTTTATAAATAATACTGAATAAAACAAACTTATTATACGTCATCTCACATATTTAGTTTATAGGTAATAAGGAAATAATTTAGATTAATGTATCTAAAAAAAAGGTGAATTGTGTTTTTATAAGAGTTTTATAACTTTTTCGTATATAGTTTTAAGAAAAAGAAAAAAAGACACTACCAAACTCAATATGAATAGATGATAAAAAAAATAAAACAAAACCATGCCATCAACTGTTAAACCTTTAGCCCATGTGTTTAGCCTCTCATCATCTTGTAGTCTGCAAATTCCATTTAAAAAAGCAGCTTCGTCTCCCTTCAAACCCTTATTCATTTGCCACTCACTGCACCCATTCATGGAGCACACTCAGAGCTTCTATGCCAGTTCATGATAAAACCCATTTCAGGGACCCTCACACTGTTCCGTTGTTCCATGCCCATGCCCTCAAAGTCTCTGTCAAAAGGGCCCTTCTTCCTGAAGGAAAACAGTTGCATGCCCATTTGATAAAGTTTGGATTTTGCCATGTTCTCTCCCTGCAAAATCAGATTTTGAATGTTTATCTGAAGTGTAAGGAAACTACAAATGCACAGAAGCTGTTTGAGGAATTGCCAGTGAGAAATGTGGTTTCGTGGAACATTCTAATTCGGGGCATTGTTGGATGTAGCAATGCAATTGAAAATGACTCGAATCTACAGCTCTGTTTTTCTTATTTTAGAAGGATGTTGTTGGAAATGGTGGTTCCGGATGGTACAACTTTTAATGGTCTCATTGGTGCTTGTGTGAAGTTTCGTGATATTGACGTGGGTTTCCAGTTGCATTGTTTTGCAGTGAAACTGGGACTTGATTTGGATTGTTTTGTTGGAAGTGTTCTTGTTGATTTATATGCTAAATGTGGCTTGGTTGAGAATGCAAGGAGGGTTTTTCATGTTATTCCACTCAGAGATTTGGTTATGTGGAATGTGATGATTTCTTGCTATGCCTTGAATCGTTCACCGGAAGAGGCTTTTGGAATGTTCAACTTGATGCGATCAGATGGTGCAAATGGAGACGAGTTCACTTTTAGCAGCCTGCTTAGCGTATGTGATACTTTGGAATATTATGATTTTGGAAGGCAGGTTCATGGTCATATTGTGAAACAGTCATTTGATTCAGATGTGTCAGTAGCTAGTGCGTTAATCAACATGTATGCGAAAAATGAAAATATAATTGACGCACACAGACTATTTGATAGGATGGTGATTAGAAATGTTGTGGCTTGGAACACCATTATTGTTGGGTGTGGGAATTGTGGAGAAGGGAAGGAGGTTATGAAGCTTCTCATAGAGATGCTTTGCGAAGGGTGTCCCCCTGATGAACTGACTATTTCCAGCACGATTGGTTCATGTGGCTATGCTTGTGCGCTTACTGAAACAATTCAACTCCATGCTTTTGCAGTTAAATCATCATTTCAACAAAACGTATCTGTCGCTAACTCTCTGATTAGTGCGTACTCCAAGTGTGGTAGCATAACTAGTGCATGCAGATGCTTCAGATTAACTGCAGAACCTGATATTGTTACATGGACTTCATTGATAAATGCATATGCATTCCATGGTCTTGCCAAAGAAGCAACTGAAACATTTGAGAAGATGCTATCTTGTGGAGTTATACCGGATCAAATTTCTTTTCTTGGTGTTCTCTCTGCTTGTTCACATTCTGGGCTTGTGGCTAAGGGACTTTACTACTTTAACTTGATGACCAGTGTGTATCAGATTGTTCCTGAATCAGGGCATTATACCTGCCTTGTTGACCTTCTTGGAAGATATGGTCTTATAAATGAGGCTTTTGAATTGTTGAGGTCACTGCCAATGGAAGCTGAATCAAATACATTAGGGGCATTTATTGGATCCTGCAACGTCCATGCCAATATAGGACTGGCTAAATGGGCTGCAGAAAAGCTCTTCATCATAGAGCCAGAGAACAATGTGAACTATGCAGTCATGTCTAACATTTATGCTTCCCATAGACATTGGTGTGATGTTGAAAGAGTTCGCGGAATGATGGAGAAGAAGGGTGATGCAAGAGTTCCTGGTTGCAGCTGGATACAAATTGGTAATCAAGTTCATTTGTTTGTATCAAATGATAAGACACACCCTAAAGCTTTTGAAATGTATGCTACATTGAAAATGCTACTTTGGCCAATGAAGGAAAAAAGTGGCATTAATTTGTGAAGGTTAACTATTTTTTTGAAAATTTAGAATTATATATATATATTTTTAAATCAAACCAAAAGAATTTTATTTTCATATAAAATTGGATTGTACCGTCCATTTTCTCAGTTCAAGACAGCGCCATTAATGTCGTCTGTTTGAAAGTTCATTAATCACATTTTAGTGTACAAAAATATTAGTCCAAGTTATGACAATTTCAACATATGATTTCCAAGTTAAACATTTTGTAATACGTTGATTATTTGTGTTCTTTAGGTTTGATCTTGCGTTGTAGAATAAAATATGTGCATGAAGTTCAATTCTTTTGAAATTTCTTCAGTTTAGGTGTTATATGAAATTTCGTCGTTATGTTTAAAAAAAATCTCCAATCAAAATTTACCATTTTAAAATTTCTTTAGATTTGGTATTTAAACAAGTCCTTTTAATCTCTAGTATTTTTAATTCACCTTAGAATTGATAAGTAATTTCAAAGTCTCGGGATTATTTTTTTAATATTTTATTTTAATTAATCAATTTAGGGTTTAGGGTTTATTTCAAAATCTTTATTTAAGTGACGTAATTTAATTTTCACCTTATACAAAAAAATCATTTTAGGTATATTCTTATATCTCTTCATCATGCTTGAGAAAAAAAAAACCTATAAAATTCTCAACATTTGAAAAATTGAATTCCTCTTTTAGATCATCCAAATTTAAGTATTGAAAATTGTTCTCTCTAATTTACACAGCCAAAAGTTAATTGTGTTAGGAAATTATATCATCGCCAAGTGGCACTTTTCCATTCACTAATACATTTCTATTTTTATTTTAAATTGCGTGTAGTACACTGTTAGTTGCGTACAAAGGTTGTAAATAAATAATTAATAACTAATAAACAATCAACGCCCATGTAATAATAAATCTATAAAACCCCAATTCAGCGTTGAACATTGCAACGTAGAGAAAAAATCCTTTTCCCTTGACGGCACCGTTTAGTTTATAATTTCGACCTTAACTTTTGAGAATAAAATCAAAATTAGTTAGAAAGAAAACACTATTAAAAGTTGATCGATTAAGTTTTTTTTTTCATAAAATTTAGTCATCAATGAATATTTTACTCTATAACTTAAAAAAATAATAATTATAATTTACGAGCTACAGTAATTTACTGAATTTTATAATAATAACTTTAAAAGTTATGTTAGTTAATAGTATATCAATTTTATATTAATATATAAATTAAATTAAAAAAAATACTAATTAAAATATATTGTCTTCAAGGCTATTAAGGAGATTTCAAGAAACTCTTAATTTTATATATAATGTTTGCTAGAAGGAAAATAATATATTTTTCTATAAATTTATTTAGGCTCACAAGACTTATCTCATAAGATGAAAAAATCTTATTAACTTGGTCAATTATAAAATTAATAATAATGTAAAGAACAAAGATGAGGTCAATAGTTTTAATGGAGATAATTTTCACTCTAATTTAAAAGTTTTAATATATAAATTACCTTAAACCATCACATAGCACATATTTTTTTAATTATTTTTAAAATAAGGTTTTCTTTTATATAAGTTCTTTTTTCAATTTCCTTAGTCAGAAAAAGTGTGATAAAAAGTTAGCGGCTCATCAAAACCTTGTGATTCATTGAAATTGAGCACCTTTTGAAGTCAATGCAAGAACCTTTGCTAAACATCCCATCTTCTTCAGGTTACAATCATTGAGAACTTTTCCAAAATGTAGTCTTTCATTCATCATTTCAATTACAATGAGATAAACCATATGAATTCAATTACTATTTATTTTTGGTTTGTAACTAAATTTATTAAATTGAATTCATTTTTAAAGTTTTCTTTATGTTATTAAGTGTTATTAATTTTTTATGCATCATTAAAATGAGTGATTTTCAAAACTTAATACTTTAAAAGAAAAATTGCATTTTATCATCTAAAAGAGTGTCTGAGAAAAAAAAATGTCACCTTTATAGTCGCGCTAGTCATAGTCATGAAACGGTGTTTACGCGGATACATTGAGGAATACGTTGTTAAAATCTCATGAATCAATCGCGTGGAAACGGATCTGGTAAAATGAACATCTATGTGAGTGGTTCCTGCGTGTCAAACAGTAGAAACAAAAGAACCACCGAACTTGAAGAGACAAAGATTGGCTTCCACGGCGCATGATAGCGTCACCCACCATTTATAATCACCAAAGAAGTTGCAAAGTCGTTGTTTTTCTTACTTCGCTTCAGTTGACTCTCTCTCTCTTACCAACCCGCCATTTTTTTCTCTCTCCAAAACATATATGACTTCTCCCAATCGCCAACGCCGGCGATCCATCTCCGACCACCGCAGCACGCCGGGGAGAGTGCCCCCTTCTCCCGGATACGCCTCCTCCAAGCTCAACAGCTCCACGGATTCCGCCCGCCGGAACCCTGTCGCCGCTGCCTGGTCCTTGACCGGAATGTTCGCCTTGTGCTTCTCGCCGCCGGTGTCAGACAATTCCAAAAGCCTCGGGGATTCAGAGGAGTTCAAGTCTTCTTCCTGTACTAGTTCCATTTGCCCCTTCTTTTTTCTTCCGGAGAAAACTTTATACAATATCTTAAGTTTTTAGTTTTGTTTTTCTGTTGAAGTTAGAGTTTTGTTTCGATAAATTTGCACCTTAAATGTCGGCAAAGGTTTTTTTAAGGTGAAAGTTAAATTGTAATCTAACAACATCACGTAAGTTTTGTCTTTTTCTTTTGGAGAACGTGTGTGTGCGAGTACGCGCGTTCTTCTATGTTGTTATGGATCTCTGAGTTTGAACTCGTGTGTCAAGAAGTTTGTGTTTTTAAGCTTCTGAGAAGAAGGGTAGACTTGTCAAGCAAATCTGATCTGGAGTTTGAGATTTTGGTCTGAATCAATTAAATATTGATCCGGGTTTTGATTCTGAATTTTCATTATGGGTCGAGAATTTGATCTAGTCCCGGTTCCCAAAATCACGACTTTCTGTTTTTGGAATAAATAATTCAGTGAATCTGCATTTTTTGTTCCTTTGTGTGCTGGGTAACTTTTGAACTGAGATTGATTTTTCATTAATGTTACATTTAGGTCATGATTTGCAAAGTTTTATTATAAAAAAAGACTAGCACGTGTAACCCAAAAAGGTATATAATACTATTAGCATCTATACATGCATCATAAACACTACAGATTTTGAAGTTCTGTGGCTAAACGTTTTAGTTAGTTTGCATGGTTTTTCTTTAGGGTTTTAGCATTATAAATTTTGGAGTGGTACTATATATAGGTAGATTTATCTTATTGTGTTTGTTTCTTAGCGGTATCGAATATTTCAAGAGCTGGTAGTCAGAGAGGGCGTGGCCCAAATGGAGGTATGAGCATAGGTTCATACAACGTAATACAAGGGAAAGAACCTGGCATTGTAAAGTTCACCATGGAGGAAATCTACCAAGTCACAAGAAATTTCTCCCCTTCTTTCAAGATTGGCCAAGGTGGTTTTGGTGCTGTGTACAAGGCAAAACTCCTAGATGGAAATGTTGTTGCAGTAAAGCGTGCTAAGAAGGTTTTTTAAGTTGTTTCTAGCCTATTAGTGCTCAATTGTGTCACGATTTGGATGGAATGAGAATGTTATTGATAACAATTGACAAACACCCAAAAGTTATTGGTTAATTGCCTTTTGCTTTGCAGAGTGTATATGAGAAACATTTGGGGGTGGAGTTTCAGAGTGAGATCCAAACACTATCCCGGGTGGAACATTTGAACTTGGTCAAGTTCTATGGATATTTGGAGCAAGGGGATGAAAAGATCATTGTCGTTGAGTATGTTCCAAATGGAACCCTTAGAGAACATTTAGATTGTGAGTTTCTCTAGTCTTTTAGCTATTGTCTGTTTGTAATTTGGCCTTGCCTCCAGCATTGACTTTTTGTGCCTACTACAACTTGATCAATGAACTGTTACAGGCACTCATGGAAGCGTTCTGGACCTTGCTGCACGTATAGATATCGCAATTGATGTTTCTCATGCTATCACCTATCTTCATATGTACATAGGTACAACTTTCTGCTCATCAAGCAACTTTCTCATGGCAAAAGTGCATAGTTGTTTGTCCCTGAGAAAATAAACCATCAATTTTGTCCTTAAAAGTAAAAAATATATCTAAGTAATCTCAAGTATTAAAAATCATGTTAAGTAATCCTTCAAGTAATTGGAAAACCATTCAAATTGGTTGTTGAACATTATAGTTTTGCAACTTTAGGACTACTTAGGGGAGAGGGTAATCCTTGGTAACCAAATTGATGGTTTATTGACAAATAAAATGATGAAAAAGAATCTGACATTGTTGTATATTGTGTCTTCTTTGTAGATCATCCTATCATTCATAGAGACATAAAATCTTCAAACATTCTTCTCACTGAACATTTTCGAGCTAAGGTTGCAGACTTTGGTTTTGCTAGACATGCCCCAGACAGTGACTCTGGCATGACACATGTTTCCACCCAAGTCAAAGGAACTGCTGGATACTTGGATCCTGAATACCTGAAAACTTATCAACTAACTGAAAAGAGTGACGTGTATTCATTTGGAGTTTTACTGGTTGAACTTGTCACAGGAAGACGCCCCATTGAACCAAAATTTGAACTCAGGGAGCGAATAACGGCAAAATGGGTGAGTACTCTGCACTATTTGCCTTCATTTTGTTCTTGTTTGCTATTTAGTAGTTTTTCTTGCATGAAAAACAAAATATTTTCTTATGATACCCCATTTTGTTTAGTAGTTTAGGACCTTCTCTTCATGAAGTTCGTGAATACTCCCTCTCAATCCATCTTGCTTAGCTCTAACTGATAAGGAGGAATGAGGGGGCATTTGAAAGTACTTACAATAATGCTCACAAATGTGACATTTCTATAAGCTGGTTTAGTAAGAATTAATAAACATGCATTGTGGGTATAAATTGTTTTATGTTGTGAATGAAGCAGAAATCAAACAAACTTATCATTTATGATTAGTTAGAACTTGTTTGGTACAATTGCAGGCTATGAAAAGGTTCATTGAGGGAGATGCTATCACGGTCTTGGATCCAAGACTGGATCAGACTGCTGCAAACACTTTGGCATTACAGAAGATTCTTGAGCTAGCTTTACAGTGCTTGGCTCCACGTAGACAAAACAGGCCTACTATGAAGAGATGTGCTGAGGTCCTTTGGACCATCCGCAAGGACTTCAGAGAGGAGTTATCAGCTTCAAACTTCCGCTCATTTTCCACTACTTCCCAAAGGAGCAGCTCACTGAGAGAGTGACAAGGCTAAAGTTGCAACCATTGTTACAAACACTCTCAAATCCTCTCCTTTGAACACATTCTTTTTTATTGGTTGAGATTAATGAATCTTTCTCCTGGTTATTAGTTTTCAATAAATCTCAATCAATAGAAAAAGAGTTTAAGTGCGATAGAGAACATGCTTCTAACATCCTAGTGAGAAAAACAATGGCCTCGGGAGAAAAATCATTGTTCTATACTATGATAGGAAAGTTTGATACTAAAGATGTTTGGTGTTGGGCTAGGGTGGCATGTAGAAGTTCATATTTTGTGAAAATTGTACATAGAGTTTTGGCTTGTTTACAGGAATAAGGGGGGGGGGGGGGAATGAGAGTGCATTGCTTTTCTTAGTTGTGCATTTTTTCCCTCCTGGGACACAAGGAGGAAAACTTGTATTCTTGGTGTATTACTATTTTGGGTATAATATTCCATTTGCTATATGTTTTATTAACGTTTTAAAAAAATCCAACTTATTGGTTGAACCTGTCCAATCAAAACTAATGTAAAAATTAATTTATTATTTTTAAATAATTAAGTTTTAATTGAATTGATTTTGATTAAAAAAATAATCTTTAATATAATTTTTTATAATATAATTTAAAAAAAAATTCTTTATTTCGTATTATTCATTTCAATTTTAAATAATAATTATTTTGTTTTGTTTTTATTATATTTTATTTTAATTGTTATTTATTTTAAACTTTCTAATATGTTTACAGCATTAAAATTTATAATAATATTTTTATTTTAAATTATTGTTATTAATAAGTTTATTATATTATAAAATTATTATTTTATTAAATCTGACTAATATAAATTAAATTTTTAATGTATGAATTTTTATTTTTATTTTTGAAAAAACATAGGTTTCACTTTTTCAATTTTTGTTGTAGGCTAATCATTTATGAGGTGGGTGAGTTGGTGATAAATTAATCATAATCGTATTTATATCTGTGAAAAGCAAAGGGGCCACGTTATTATATGCAGGAGCAAGTTGATAGTCCAACAAGTGGTGCTTGCCTGGACAACTCCAATTGCAACTGTGACGTTTTTTGTCCCACTAAATTCAAATTAAATATAAATGTAATAAAATAATTTTAAAATTTATTCTTTTTTTAATCGTATTTTTCGTAGTATAAGATTAACAAATAATTAATTATTATGTTATAAGAAAAATGATAGATAAAGATGAAAAATAAATTTCTAATTTTTCCTTTTTTTATATGTACATGAACATACTAATTAAAATTTTAAATAATTTTTTTATTAATAATAATCTAAAATTTCAATATATATTGGATATGACTTTAATAAATAGTTTCATTGATATTTTTTTAGCTTTGGAATATAAAAAAATCTAATTAGGGTAAGAGAGTTCATTAGATATTCCGGATAAAAACGAAGATATATAATACTATTATTTGTTTATAATAGTAGTTTATTATTTTCAATTACATATCTTTATTTCTAGTACTAGTTATTAACATTATTCTTTAAGTAAGAGGGTAGAGAATTAACTCACCAAATAAGTGTGAATTATCATAACTTCTAAATAGGTATAAAGTTTAATTGTGCACCAATAAAAATATAAATTAGAGTTAATTAATTTTTTAATATATTCCATATTTTTTTAATTTTTAGTCCTTATAATAATTTTAATATTTTTCAATTAACTATTTGACATGTACTATTTTAATATTTTTAAATGTGTTAATCTAGTCCTTATAAATTAAAAAAAAAAATTTGAAAAGGGTTCTAACTTTCAAATAAGAATTTTTTTTTTAAAATGAGTAAAGAAACAAATACTAATGATTTCAACTATATAAAGTGTTCTTAAATGCAAAAGACAGAAACCAGCAAACAAGACCCACACAAAGTAATGTTGAAGTGCTCTTGCCAAGAGAACTATCCAAATATAAACAATTCACAGGCTATGAATATTAATACCCTAAATATTATAATTACATAACCAAAGCCTAACCCTTTTATCCTATTATGACTACATGGTTTGATTTCTTTCTCCTATCTTATGCCATAAAATATATTGGTGGTGAATAATTTATACCCTAAAATGAATGTAAAAAAGCAAACCTTGTGAGAGAAAGAATTTACAAGAGGCTGCTTTGTTTAGGCCTTCACAATTTCCTCTTAGGTTGGTTGATTTCTAGTTCTCTCAGCAGCCATATCTTCCAACTACTCATACTGGTAACCTAACATTCTTGTGTCACATTTAAGCAAAATTAAACTTCAAAATATCCACTTCTTTCCTTTTTGCACGCACCCACCAATCTCACATATGTTCTTCTAATCCAACTCTTGGAAATGAATCCTGACGAGTCAGTGCATAGTTTCCACTTGAAGGTGGTGAAATTTCAGCATCAGCAATGTTTGCTTTTGAGCAAAGGAAGAAGAAAGAAGATGTGTATATTGTAATGTGCCAAAAGCTGTTACCATTTTGAAAGAGCAAAACATGAGACTAGAGAAGACAGATAAACAAAGAGATTATGGGGAGAGTAGTAGTATTGTAATACCTATGCCAAAGCCAGTAGTTTGAACTGGTTTCAAGCGTCCAGCTTAATCCTGCCATGGCCAATGTAATGAAACCAACCACCAGAAAACCCCAGCGAAACCGTCTCAAAAGCGTCTTCACCAAATTACAGAACCATTGCTTCATAGTTTGCATGCTGCAGCAGAAAGTCATCTCTAAGGACATCCAAGTTTGAAGTAAAAATATAAAACTGCAGTTTGGATATTTTAAGACATAGCATAAGCTAGTTCAAGATTTGTTCATCCTCAAGCATGACTAAGTTTTGAGTAAAAACATAACACTGATCATGTTACGAATACAGTGCATGACAATGACCACGTTGATGGTACTAAGAAGGGTTGGTTTAACATAAAAGATTTAAGGCATTTGTTGAAAGAACTGAGTATGGTTCATCTTGAATTCTAACCATCATGTTACAAGAACGAACAAAACAAAAAGATATTTAAAGGCTGAATTGACTGCTTTTTAAGCTATTCAGCTTCGGCACGTATGACAATTCCCTACTCCAAGATAAAATCAGAGACAACATGCATAACTAGATTACCAGTTGAATGAACAAGAAAACAGTTGTCTTGTGCCAAGTTGGCAATTTACAAAAGGGTTTCATCAATACATGCCAAACAGTATCATACAGCCAGATCATGATTCTATCAGCCCTGAAAGTTGCTATAGCATGGGGGAACACTAAATTGGCCATCAATACATGCACATAAAATACTTCAACAAAAGTGCACAAATTTACCATCAATAAATATTCTGTTGTCTGGAAAATGCCATGCTCAAAAAAAAATTTACTAAGCACAGAGATCTCACCTTTGAAGGAAACTCAGTGATAATCCAAATGAAAAGGAGAGGGACCTATATCTTTTTGAGATTTCTATCAACCATGCAATAAGAAGACCAAGAGCCCCTATCACAATGACAAGAACAATATTGGAAGACCTGCACAATTCAGTGTAGATACATGTGAACAACTTAATCATCCTTAGCTGCATATACACAAAGTTGTTGTCCATTAGTTCAATTTACCTAGTTGCCTTAGTTGAAGCCAAGAGGGCGGTGAGGATAGCAACGATTGTGTGGATTGCCCTCTTATATACTTCATCAATGGTTGCTAGGTATACAAAAGTGCTAACCACAGCCATGAAAGAGAGCCAGAAATCCATGAACTGAAATTTTGAAATATCAAGTCACTATAGATAGACAAGTATAGTCATTGAGTTGTATTATAGATCCCAACATCATGTACTATGATTGACACCCAAGGCCTGGGAATTCACAGCATAAATCATCCACTGAAGAATGAGAATCCTATTTAGAAATCAGGTTATAGAAGATTGTTAAAGGTTGGCAGTGCTAGCAAGTGAGATAACATCTCTCTCTATCTTAACTCAGATTCTCGATAATATTTATTCTTCAAACTTCCTTTTTTTGTAATTTTACGATACAGTAAAGGCAGAATAGTAACCTGTAAAACATTAAAGTTCAATGCACACCAGGTGCCAACATCACATGCGTGATATATCCCACTAGCAATTCCACTGCATGTGAATAAAACCCATTCTGCAAATGCCTGCAAATAGAATTACAGGTTTCATTGTTAATAAAATCTATGTAACAAGTAAATTTTTATTTTGTTCGAAATTTAGATATCATGTACTTCTGGGAATCCAAATCATTTACAATTATTTATCCTCTACATTTAAATTAATATATAATTCTCATAAATTCCACCAATTTCTATATGCAGGTAGGTGAATCATGACGCAACAAAATAATTTAGAGGAAGAGCAGATAACAAAGGAACAAGAATTACCTTTTCCCTAAGGGACCAATACGCAGGAAGTATGGCTGCAGCATTTGATCCAATGAGAAAAATGGATTGCAGTATATGCCCTACAACAAATTTTCAACAACCAAATTAAAGGACAAAAACAGACAAATACTGAAGATAAACGCAACACCAAATCCATATCCATATATTTGACAAACCGTATAGAAAAACAGGAGTAAAGCATACTCTATCTCTAACTTTTTACATCTAGGCCGAAATTGCCGCACTAAAATAAACTCAAACTCACTATGTCTACCTACTTTACTCAGTCTGTTACTAACAAAAAAAATACATACATTGATATTGGTTGTGCAACAAATCATTGTATATAGCATCATAAATGAAAAAAAAAAACTAAAAACAAAAAGATAATTAACTAATATATATATATATATATATATATATATATATATATATATAGAGAGAGAGAGAGAGAGAGAGAGAGAGAGAGAGTGAGAGACGAGATCCACATACTCCACGACGAAGAGTTAGAGACTTATTTTATGTCCCTATTATTAAATTTCTTGTAAACTAATGATTAAGATGAGTTCCTAATTTAGACCATTAGATTACAAAAAATTGAATGGTAAGAATAAAAAGTAAGTTTTTAACCCTTTCTCTTAGAGTAAGTGGATCTCTCCTTATATATATGTGTTTGTGTGTGTGTAAACCATTTAGTTTGGGTTCTTTGCTGAATGCTGACACTTAGAACTAATAGTACCTAGGAAATCAGATAATAATAACAAAACAAAAGAGAGGGGGACGTAGGTAATAGAATACGTATTGAGTTGAACCATGACACATGTAAGACAAACAACAAATTTTAAAGTTTTAAAATTAACAATTACTGTGGGAAATCAAATAGTATTTTAGGAAAGAATAAATCAGGAAATTTGTATATTTCCTTGTAATCTGTACAGATTTGAATAATTAGAAACAATCCCATAAATCAAGGGATCCTAGCATAAAATAGAGTTATTATATTTCCTAAAATAGCTTAGGTCTCCTGTATATATCTTATATCATCTTTTTGTATTGATATAATAAAAAATCATATTTCAGTTAATCTATTTTTCCAGATGGTATCAGAGCTTCCGATCTAGGAAGCTATGTCTGCGCGCGATAAACCCTAAGACGACAGCCTACATTGCTGCTGCATATTTCTTAACCCTAAGACGGCAGCCTACATTGTTGCTGCATATTTCTTAACCCTAAGACGGCAGCCTGCATTGCTGCTGCATTTTTGTTAACCCTAAGACGACAGCCTGCATTGCTACTGCATTTTTGTTAACCCTAAGACGGCAGCCTGCATTGCTGCTGCATATTTCTTAACCCTAAGACGGCCGCCTGCATTGCTGCTGCATTTTTCTTAACCCTAAGACGACAACCTGCATTGTTGCTGCATTTTTCTTAACCCTAAGACGGCAGCCTGCATTGCTGCTGCATTTTTCTTAACCCTAAGACGGCAGCCTGCATTACTGCTGCATTTTTCTTAATCCTAAGACGACAACTTGCATTGCTGTTGCATCACACCTCCTTGCTATGATGTCAAGGGAAGAGGAAGTTGTGAATCCAAACCCAGAAACAGGGAATACCCAATCCCAGCAATCTGGAGTACTGCAGAATATTCATTCTGCATATAGACTAAATGGAAGAAATTATTTGAAGTGGGCCCAACTTGTTCGTACAGTGTTGAAGGGAAAGGGGAAGTTGAGTCACCTGATGGAGTCTGGACCTAAGCAGGAGGATCCCAAGTTTACTACATGGGATGAAGAAGATTCAATGATCATGGCGTGGCTGTGGAATTCAATGATTCCAGAAATCAGCGACACCTGCATGTTCCTTAATTCGGCAAAAGATATTTGGGATGTTGTAGAGCAAATCTACTCTAAAGCCAAAGATGCTGCTCAAGTATATGAAGTAAAGGTGAAAACTTTGGCAACAAAACAAGGGAACAAGACTGTTACAGAATATGCCAATCAGCTGAAATCATTGTGGATGGAGCTAGACCATTATAGAGTCATAAAAGCCAAATGTACTGAAGATTCAGCACTTCTCAAGGAGTATATCGAACAAGACAAAGTTTATGATTTTCTTGTTGGTTTGAATCCTGAATTTGATCAAGTTAGGATTCAAATATTGGGGAAGAAAAAGGTACCATGCCTCAATGAAGTGGTGGCTATTGGGAGAAGTGAAGAAAGTAGAAGGGGTCTCATGTTAGAGAGTCCAGCAGTAGAGAACTCAGCACTGGACCATAAAGGAGATCAGACTTTGGCCATGGTAACCGAACAGAAGAAAGGATCAGCAAATGTGGAGAATAAAGGTGATGGTCTCTGGTGTACCTATTGCAATAAACCTCGTCATACCTGAGAGAAGTGTTGGAAGTTACATGGGAAGCCTTTAAACCGAGATCGAGAAGGGGGACACAAAGGAGGCTCCTCAAGGAAAGGAGGACAAGTTTATGTTATGTGAGTTGCTATGGCTTAAAATCATCTTAGAAGACTTGAGGATAAATTGGGAAGAACCTATGAAGCTCTATTGTGATAATAAGTCAGCAATCAGTATAGCCCACAACCCAGTGCAGCATGATAGAACAAAGCATATTGAAGTAGACAGACACTTCATCAAAGAAAAGCTTGATAGTGGCTTGATATGCACTCCATATGTGTCCTCTCAAGACCAAATTGCAGACATTCTTACCAAGGGACTGGGCTGCCATAATTTTGAGAAGATTGTATCCAAGCTGGGAATGGAAAACATCTATTCACCAGCTTGAGGGGGAGTGTGGGAAATCAAATAGTATTTTAGGAAAGAATAAATCAGGAAATTTGTATATTTCCTTGTAATCTGTACAGATTTGAATAATTAGAAACAATCCCATAAATCAAGGGATCCTAGCATAAAATAGAGTTATTATATTTTCTAAAATAGCTTAGGTCTCCTGTATATATCTTATATCATCTTTTTGTATTGATATAATAAAAAATCATATTTCAGTTAATCTATTTTTCCAGAATTACCTTTATGTGATACAATTTCAATGCTACAGTCAAAGCCACCATGGTTTCGATCACAGGAGCAGAAACTGGGGCCAAAAGACATTAAAAATGGTAAATTTCTGTAGAAAGTTGAGTAACAGATACAAATAAAGTAATCTGGAAGTCTGCAACTTAGTATTTGACTATTTTTAAGAAACGGCTCAGTCGATACCAAATATTCATATGGTTCTTGTCCAATAATTGAAAACAAAAAATAAAATGTAAACAGAAGAGATATTTAAAACAAGCAAAGGGCTTAACATAAACCTGAATGATGTCAATCCACTGGCATCAAAAGAATATTTACAGTCTCCATTAGAGGAGCACTGTTTTGGGCATCCTTCAAGTGAAATGGACATGACTGTTTGTGCTTTCATAGAATCACTGCTGGTATAAAGATGTCTTAGACCTAAACCCCAAGTTCCTTCTCTAGCATAAATAATGTAAAAATCAATTTTGTCATCACTTGAATCATATAGCATGAAAAACATGGACTGTTCACTCTTCCTTGTCCTGTTAGCATAATAATAGTCCCAGTTATCACGAGAAGGCAATCCACCAAATCTAGCATAAACTTCATAACTGATCTTGACATCTGCCGATAATCGTATGTGAATATTCCGTCCAGCTGCACCACGGGGAATGTCCAAAGTAAAATAAGTCCAAATGTCATCAGTTTTTCCTGAGTGTGATGACGTGGTTAAAAGTGGCTCAAGAGGAAAGTTGGCAGCAGATGCTTTTACACCATCAGCCACAGGTAAAAAATATGATTCAAAGGGGATTGGACCCCCTCTCCTTAGAACAGTCTGCAGACAACCATTCTTATTTTTCAATAACTTATTTCAGTGAGGAAATATCTTTAAGCAACAATATATAGAACTGATTCTAACAGGTCGTCATTAGACTTATATTGCTGGGAAATTCCTTAACATTCCTATTAGATATAGTATTTAGCGAAAAACTCCAGAATTTAAATTCTTATAATAGGAAACTTAATATGTTGACAAGTTCTTCAATCCATATATTTTAGCATTGCACATAAAATAGTTCTGTATTTAAAACATATTCAGTCTACCCTAGGAAAGAAATCAATAAGTCCTCTAAGAGATAAGCACCATATATGTACTAATGCCTGCACCAAACTAAGCGCATTTTTATTCTTCAAATTATCATCATCTGGTTAGATTTTGAACTGTACAGTTCAGATGTTAGCATAATCTTTTGTTTGCTACAGTATGTTTGTATATATTTTATTTTATTCCATTCTTTCTACATGTTACAGCTAATGTTTTTCATAACCATCAAGATAAGTCTACATTACATGTGATCATATCCCCATTCTATCTAGGTTATAAGCCAAAAAACATTTTTTTTATCCTATAAATATTTCACTAACATAATTTAGAGTGAACCTTTATATTCAAAAAAGAGCACCGGCAAATAAGAATATAAAAAGAGACGCATCTAGCCATCCATACTACCTGAAGTGTGTATCTGTCCATTGTGCAATTTGGCCCTGCTTTCCCAAGTGCGCACTGAAGTACTTGTGATTCCATGGAGTAGCAAACTTTTAAATTGCCATACGGAGTCACTCCAAACTTTTTTGAAACATTAACTGGTACTATACTAATGTACAAACGTCCAATCTGTGGATAACGGATAATCAGAGCGGCCTTGTTTAAATCACTGGAAAAATCATGCAAAGTCTCTGAAGGAATTGCACCATGGCGAACAAAACACATTAAACTGGCATCATTTGCACTAGAAGTGTTATTTGAAGCTGTAGTATTGAATTTAACATTTGCCACCATAATGGTCAACTCTTCTGCCATATTTGTTACATCCAAGGAGTAAAGTTCTGGTACACCTTCCTGAGCACAAAATGTATCTAGGTTACTTTTGCAGGTCATCACATTTTCCATCATTGGATTCTTCACTGTAGCCTTCACTGAATTATAGACATCAGATACTGTGCATGAAAGTGGATAGACTGTACTGTTACATAACTCCCCTTTCATCATTGAATTTGAGCATGCTTCCACACTTATGTTGGCACTGAAGGAGTATGCTGAGCCTCGGATAATCTGTGGAAGTAGAGAAGTAACTGTTATTCTTCCATGTGTGATTATTTCATAAGGAATTTGGCTGAGAGATAAAATTGATCCAAATTGAAATAAGGAATTTTTGTTTTGATATGGGATGCAAATAAAGACAGAAATCAGTACAAGGTTGTGTACAATCTGACATTCTGGATAGAGAATTCATTAGATAGACCTTTGAACATTACAATGTAGAATAAAGAGAAATAATAACAACAAATTCTACTTTTGACAATCAAAATCAGCATTAAAAAGAAGAATTCTATGCGCAACAGTGACTCATTAAGGTAGTAACGGCATCAACATATTAGCAGCCCTTCTAGCATAAAAATATGCAAAAGGCAGCACTGAAAGGATCACAAATGGTTGCAACATGTGATGAAAAATACTTGAAATATTCAGTTTTCTTTGTTATAAAAGTAATATTTGGGTAATAAACCATACCATCTTCGATTGTGTTCTTGCAGCTCCAATGCCATTGAAAAGGCCGATATACCAAGCACCTGGAGATATCTGAGAAATAATTCATATGTTATTGGCTACGTGATATTATGACAATAAGGAGAATCATTTGTGATCTAATCCTTAGTTAATGATGTAGGAATTTTAATACTAACGCAGATACAACTATGTCATCATAGATCTCGAAGTAAAGGATACACGGTGCTTATAGAACCAATAAAGATATTGAAAAGAGTAAAAATTATCACAATACCTGTTCGTTTGTCAATTTCATAGTGATATTTTTCTCCATAGGAAAGCACTGCTCGATGTCAAGACCATTTATTCCTAAAGAAAAAGGGGGCACCAAAACTAATTATATAATGGCACTACAAAAGACAGTATAAAAATTTTAGTCCTTTTCTTCGCTGAGAAGGAGACAGAGAACAAGAGGAAGAAGGAACAAGTGATCAATTTCTTTCATGGTGCTTCAAAACAAAGTGAAAAAATAAGAAACGAAGAATCATTACACATCCATGAGTTTGCATTCATGCATTACACTATAACCAGGAGAAACCATCATTGCAGGGTATGTAAAATTATGGGGAGAAATCTAAACATATATTAATAAATCAAAAGAATATTCTATAGACACGGTGGCGATTTACTTAGGCTCCAATGGTTCTTCTATCTTGACGAATACCAAAAAGTTGCAACAAGACTACAATAATCATAGAACAAAGTTCAAGATAGAATTTATGTGCTTAAATATTAAGTTTAAAAAACAGTTTAATTAACTTGAGTTTAATATATTTTGGCGGGGCATCTACCTGTGACAGCTGAATCCTTCAGAGATGTGTTTAAAGCATCTGGCAGAGGAGGGCTGCCATCTCTAAAGCATATGATTGGCAGTGAACTTTTTGGAATTCTTTCAACTCTTGAAACATCCTGAAAACAATGTAATTATGAACCAATTGAGTCAAAGCTCTGGAATCAGGTTCCCCGTGAAGCAAAACAAAAAATGAAGCAATTTAAATAGACAAATAATAATTTTTAATAAGCAAATGCATAACAAGAATTTGAATGAACGAATGAATAAATAAACAGGGAGATAAAATTAAGATGACATACAATAAGCAATACACGAGTTTTATCATGCACTTTTACTTTTAATATTACCTCATGCACTATGAGGCATTATAAAATAAAATAAAATAATATCAAGATAGAAGAACATGAAAGAAATCAATGTAGATGCTATTCTAAATTGCCTCTATCTAGACAGAATTACAGATATTACTTACAAGGTCTACATCTGAGTTCAATGCTATGGACACTGCTGAAAACCATGGTGGTATATCAACTGAAACATGAGAACACATGAAGATACATAATCAGAACAATTACCAAATATTCCTTAAACCAATAACAATATGAAGACAAGGGATAATTGACTAAGTCAACAGAAAAAGAAAACATAGAAGAGAAAAAATATATTTTTTTGTCGCGCTAATTCACCAATACCCTTCAAAATTCAGTTCCGACCCATTAAACACCACAGGGTGAAATGCATCACGACCAAAAAAAGCAGAAGTTGAAGCAAATAAATAAAAGGGTCGCCATTGACAAACCTCTGATGTAGCGCAAATCAAAGGGTCTGAGAGTAGTCTGAGGGTAGCTGAAGCTGGAAACAGTGAAGACATTATCAGTGGCTCCAACAAATTCATCGTCCGCGGAGCAGAGGTCAAGAGAACAACAAAAAAGTAACAACACACTGAGAAGAATTGAGTTGAGTTGACACCACAGAATCGAATTCAAAGGCATTTTGATTTTGATTTTGTTTTTGTTTTTGTTTTTTTTTTTGGTAAATTCGAGGTTGTTCCGAGACCACGGAGGCGCAGGGCAGTGACGATGAGTCAATGACGTTTTAGTGAGTCTAATTCAATTAAAAAGAAACCTTAACAATAGTATAAAATAGGGCAAAATAAGATTGTGGGTCAATATGAAAGCAAATCAGTCATTAATTATCAATTTCTCTCTCACTACTTTTTTAATCAGATTTTTAAGTTTTTTAGAAAATATTAAATAAAGTGATAAAATTTATTGACAGTTATAATATTTTTGAAGGCTGTTTGCTTGTTTAGGGTTTTTAAAAACAGTTTATAGTTTTCTAGATTTAAAAATTAAAAAATATTTGATAATTGTTTTAGGAAAGTAAATTTAAGATTTTTTTTGGCTTGTATATTAAAAATTAAGCATAAATTAAACATATAATTAATAAAAACTAATTAATATTATCTTGAATTTTAAAATTAACAAATAAAATTCATATATTTCTAAAATACAATAATTATAAAAAATAAAAGAATAATTTTAAGAAAAATAAATAATTTATTTATCTTTAAAATATATGATTATATTAAAAAATAATATTTTTCATATTTTTTTAATGTGTGGGAGTAACATTTTAAATTATATTAATTATCTTTTTATCTTTATTAATGTAGAAATAAAATTTAACATTATATTAATTATCTTTAATAAAATTTAAGAGTATATTAATTACTTTTTATCTTTATTAATGGTAATTATATTTATTATAAAGAAAGTATAGTAAATTATTGTGAGTGATTTTTTTAGAAATAAGATTAAAACAGTAAAGATATTATTGATAAAAGATTAAAAAATGTATTATAAAATAATAAAATTTAATATTTTTTTTAGATTTATATAGTTAAATTTTAGCCTAAAATTAAATGGTGAATTTAAAGAGGTGAAAAATGAGAGAAAAAAATGAAAAATAAAATACATTTATTTATTATTAAAACTTTTTAATGTAATTTTAATTATTTATTATCATAGTAATATATATATATATATATATATTAAAAAATGAACATAATTAATTATAGTTAATTTGTTCAACTTTTGGCACGTTTTTTCGTAAATGTGAGGGTAAAATTTTATATTTTTTTCCATTAAAATGCATGAAATCATCACATTTATAAAACTTAAAAACAAACAAATAGAAAGAATAACATGTAATGATATAATAAAGACATTAATAACAAAAGATGAGAAAATAAACTTTACTATTTTATTTTGCTTTGTCTTGTATTTAATCCCGAAAATAAATTATAATTATATATTAGCTCATATATTAGTTTTAATGACCACAAATCCACAAAATTAAAAATAAAATTATAATTATTTAGGTTAAATGTTATTATATATATATATATATATATATATATATATATATAATTTGTTTTTATTGTATGCAATTTATGAATCTTGATTCGACTCACTTTGCTCATGCTAAATGTGGAATATAGAAGAGTAATACCTAATTCACTTCGTGCCACTTCATGCTTTTATTAATTGGCTTGCAGACCAATTTTTTATAATAATTATTCTATAAATTATTTTAATGATGATTTTAGTAATATTATTCTGTTTTACATGGTTAATCAATAACTATTAATTGATTAAAATTATTTTATGTAATTAAATCATTTTAAAGTATACTATTGAAAGAATTAATGTGGTATTGTACATAAGTAAAGTAATTAAAATTATGATAATCTTTTAAGAAATTGATTTGATGTAATTGTCACTTTATTATTATGTAAGTAAATTAATTAATATTACATTGATTGTGATATTTTATAGCTATAATTCCTTTTTTTATCGCTAAATTATGCATGTTACAAGTGTAAAATAAATGGTACCAATAATACTAAATTTTGTGTAATCAAGTGAGAAAGTTACAATAAAAGGATTTAAATGTTAAAATTTATAGTAACATTCTTTTTTTAATTGAACTGCAAAACAATAGTTTTGTTTTGATTCTATCATAAAATAAAATCGAATTGATTTAAATATTTGGTTAAGATAATGATAATATTAATGGATTTCCAGAACTTTTAATCTATTTAACGTATCCTTCATGATTCACACACGTCAATTCAATAAGTTGTTATAAGTGTAATATTACGTAATAAGTGTAATATTATGTAATTATTTTGTATATGTCAAGTTGTATCGTGATTTTCAATAATCATAAAAGATAAAATATAAGTATTTAGATTAAATTGAAATTAGTATAATTATTATGAACATATTTAGTATATATATATATATATATATATATATATATATATATATATATATATGACATTATTTTTAGTGAGTTATTTAATATTTTTTATGTTAGATATAATAATATTAGGAGATAAAAGTTGATAAGTTTTATGTAACTGGTAAATATATATTAGAGATATTAGATTGTATCATAAGTTTTATTTTTTTAAATAATTAATTATTCAAATGTATAAATAACAACTAACTATAAATATAATCAACAGATTATATCAAATTATAATTTATATTTTTTCCTTCTCAATAAGTAGTCAAAATATTATTTCTTCATTGGTATCTTGTAGAAAAGGCATAAATAGAGATGAATTTTAATATTCTAATCATGCCCACAACTTTTAAAATTTAATGGTGTTTCTTTAATTTATTTTAGAAATATCTTTAGTGAAAATATTATTTATTTAATTTTACTTTTTATCTAGCTAAAAAATAGAGAAAAAAAAGTTACTTTCCATTAACCAAGATTCTTTCATTTTCCTACTTCTTCTTTATTTTTATTTTTCTCTTTTGATTTTCTTTCTCATAATTTTTTTTATTTGTCAAAGAAAAAGTTATTATGTTCTAACGTTGGACTGCCATGGCAGACCCATGAATATGGTTTGTAGGATCAGAATTTGAAACTGACTTTATATGAATATTCATATTAAAGTTAGTTTCTTTTTCTTTTTATTATTTTATTAAATACAATAATAATAAAGTCTTTGAGTTGACTCGTAAACGTGAGACATCGCAAAATCATTTCTACGCGTTACCGAGAGCGTGAAAGTGTGATAGTGGATTGTTTATAATTAGCAATGTAAAATCGTAAAATAAAAAAAAACTCATGAAAAGAAAATATTATATTATATATTATTTATCTTATTGACAGAATTTATGTAATCAAATATCATTAAAATTTAAATATTATTCAAATATTTATTATTTTAGGTTATCACTCACATTATTGAGGGAAAATTAGGAATAATTTATTATATATTTTTTCTATAAATTGGATATTAATTTATAATATATTAATAATAAATTTGAGAAGGTTAGAAAATATAAAATATAAAAAGTCAAATTTATAAATATATAAATAAATATATTTAATATCATTAAATATTGGATTAAAATAATAAATATACGTATAAATCCCAAAATTTTTGGGAGGCTATACCTCTTTATTTTTCAGAAATATTTATCATTGTCTACTGATATTTCTTCTACAGAAATGACAAATTGATTTGCTAACTAACTATAAATATGACAAAGTGAATTGATATTTTCACTGGCCACCCCACCAAGCCTGTGGGACAAATTTTACAAAAATTATTTTTATTGTATAGTCAATAAAAAAAAAACTAATAGTGAAAATTTATGAAAAAAAAATAAAAATCTATTATTCTTCACTCATATGAAACATTCTCTTTTTTTAAATACAATCTTTTTTCTTTTCAATAATATTAAGTTTTATCAAATAAAAAGTTATAATATAATATTTGTTTTAAATATTTAGATTTTTCAACATAAACATTTTATAAACTTTAATCTTATTTATATCTGATTTGTTATCCTTTATTATTATATAAATTTTATTGTTCTAAATTTTAATTTATTAACACAAATTTATATTATTAACTTTAAATTAAAAAAAAATTGTTAAAAAAATTGATTTAAGAAAGACAAATAAAATAATTTTAAAAAATTATGACGACTTAATTAATGACGAATATTAATAATTGGTCTTAAGATACTAAATATTATACTATCAATAAATAATAAATAAATATAAAAAATAAAATAATAAAAGATCAAATTTATAAATATAAAAATAAATATATTTAATAATCATTAATTTTAGAGTCAAAATAATCATAAATTTGGAGAGATCATGTCTTTATCTTAATTTTGAAGAAACTCCGTCACTAATTAACTTTTTTAGTGTAGTAGATCAAAATTTACAATTCATTAATAGTATAACCGGTCAACATGTCTCCCTCTTTTTTAATAAACCAAAAACAAGACAAACTAAAATAAAATGTATGAGTCATTTTGTTATTCTTAATTTTTAAATTAAATTATGATGAATTAGAATTTTAAAATAAAAAAATACTTTAAATATAAATAGATAATATTATAATGAACATAAACAATATATTCGTAATGTAAAATTTAAACAAGAATAATTTTAAAAATAATTTAATTGTGTTCAATGAAGTGAAGATTCAACGTTGTAAACATAATTTAAGGCTTTGTTTGGATGGAGTGATTTGAGAGAGTGAGAGAGAGAAAAGGAGGGATTTGAAGAGAAATGGAGATGATTGAAAAGTGAAAGGAAAGTTTATGGGAAATTGTGAATGATTTGATTGATATGAGATATAAAAATTATAATTTTATGTTTATTATTTAAGAAAATTACCATTTTACCCTTTGTATCAAATAAGGTTCAAATGATTATAAATATAATTTTTTAATTAATTATCCATATTTTAACATTGATTATATATTTAAAAGAAAAAACAAATTTAAAAGTGTTTGTAATTGGAAACAAATTTAAAAAATTAACTTTTTTTAGATAGTTATTAAAAATTATATAAATAAACAATTACAAAATTATGTACATTGCATAACCATATT